CATATCAACAATTGGAATACGTCTCAAATCACCCGAAGGAGATCGGCGAACCGTAAACATACCGAAAGAGTTATGAAAACCGCACCCTGGTTTTCTCTGGTACAAACTGAGATCGGCGAACCGTAAGCCCGGTTTACGAAGGGATGTACCGAGAGAAGATGGGCCGAGCGAAGATGGGCCGAAGATAGCCCATTAGGCCGAGGTCGGTGGGAAACCTCCCAAAGGAATGGAAGGTTTCCTTGAGCTCGGCCGAAACAGGAAAGTTCAAAGATAGCTGAAGTTAGTGATTAAGAGAGTATTGCAAGTTTAGCTCACTTCTGCTGATGGATTTACCTGCTCTTCAGAACTGATCCCGACGACATCCATAGCCTTTCTTGCTGCATGATATTCCTCCGCATCAATCAGACCATCCAATGCAAGACATTTAGATTGATTGAGATAGTGGTATGTCTTCAAAATCCTGTCAAAAATTCAAAACCGAAAGAAACATACAGATGGTTTATGCGTTCTGTGATCCTCAATTTCTACTTCCATTTTGAGTGATTATGATGAAGATTTTTGGTGGGCCAAATTTGAGGAGGTATTGTTGTAGTTTTTTCGAGAGATGAACAACTCTATTTTCCATGCACCAAGTCTCTGGCCGGCTTTAAAGTATGTGTCATCTCTTGCTTAATCCACCGCCACCGTGAGTCCTCAGTTTCTGTGAAGCCGCGCTGAAATTAAACTTGTGAAAATAAAATCGGGAAAACCTAGATCGAAAATCTGAAAACCAATTCAACCCAGAACTCAGGAAATACATGGACCCAAATATCTTATACTTAGCCGGAAATCAGAGAGTATATATCAGCAAAAGAAGCATGATGATTGAGAGAGACTGGCTTAGCGCGGGAGTTGAGAGCTGGGGAGGATTAAGCGAGCCAGAGGACCGCAATAGCTGGGAGAAATTGAGGAAGAAGAAACTGGGACATGATTTTTGATGGGTTTAGGCTGAGGTTGGAGGTAACGGCAGAAGGCCAAAAGGCTAGAATGATAGGAAGAGGCAAGATGGGGAAATTGTTTTGGTTTTTTGGAAAGACATGTGTCACTTTCAGAGATGCTGACGTGTCGCAAAATTGGAGAGAATTCTTCTTCTTTTATATATAAGATTTGAGAAAGACAATTTAAAAATGACTTTTATGTCATGTAATTTACAAAAATGCCATGCTGATATTTCATTATAAGAGAGCTTCTCAAAACATATATAAAAAAAATACTTGTTTTACTAGAGTAATTACATCATTTGCCATTAACATTAATTTAGTTAAAAATTAGTTTGTATCCATTATATATTTAATACTTAACATTTAATTTGTAAAGATATTCTTTCTCTTTCTATTTATTAACAACAAGTTATAAAAATTTAATACATAATATTACTTAGGTTATTAAACACTATATTTCTTTATATCATATTTCTTTGATCTTAATTTTGTTTTAAAAAATCACATTATCCATTTAATAAAACAATCTATTTTTTCATGCATTTATCATTATTTTTTTTCTATTAAAATTTAAATATTTTAGTCTGATATTGAACCGGTTAAATAGAACATATTAATCCAATTTATTATATTAAAATGTTCAATTTTATTCATATAAAAGATACTATTATTATAGTTAATTATAAAACCAACAATTATCTAGCATTTATGCAACTATACTATAAAATAAATGTAATTGTAATTATTATTTATAATTGTAGTGCATAAATTTGCAACTATAAATATCAATTAATATTTTTTAATTATATTTATATATATTATATTTGCATATTCGAATAAAAAATTATGATTAATATTTATTCCGCATCGAATGCGGGTAATCACTTAATATTTTAACGTGAACACACAAATACACAAAGACCAAGCACTTTAGCTCTCAAAGAGTCATCTCATGGGTCATTTGGCTTCAAACCCAAAACAAAGCTACGTACTGTTTTATGTTCAAAGCCAGTATTTCAAAGTGAATAATACACAAAGACACAACGACCAAGCACTTTAGCCCTCGAAGAGTTATCTCATGGGTGATTAACACCTCTTTTCCAAACTTGTTATTCTTGAGGCTGTCCTCTGAGTTGTTGATAAAAGATAATAGAAGAGGAGACAGATCAGCACCACATATCTTTACAGTCTTATCAGACGTTGAACAACAAAGGTGCCATTCTTATGAGTGATTAGCTGAACCATTGCTGAGTCTACTTCTTTCCCCATCATCATCAAATATCCCAGTCAGCAATGTCAAAGTTTGTCTACACGAAATAATTTGCAAAGTCAGCCATAGAAAGGCATGTGTAGAGTCCCCACATCCTTTTGACAAAAAGTGTTCCAGCAACAGAGGACACATACTTTTGCAGCAGAAGACTCTTGAAAAGTTGAAGAACAACTACAAATCAATACACTAAATAATAAGATGACATAAAAATTGACAAGCTGGAGGCATTCTAATGCATCAGTACCCATTCTTAATCGTAACACATATAACACATATCAAAGTGAATCGATTAGATTATTACATATTGTAATAATTTCTAATTATATTTAGACAAGTATTTAATAATCTCCAATTAATGATATTAAATTAGAGGTGATATGCAAATGCAAATTCCTTAAAACAAAGTACAAGTGCAAATCTTGATAAGCAGTTCATTCGATTCATCTTTTTCCTTCATCTTACACTATTCCTGCATTAGTTCTATGTTCCATTTATCCTGCATTATCTACATATCAACTGTTTAACGTGAAATCAGCTTCTATTGTAGTTTATAATTTTGATCCTGTAGACCTTCCACATGTTTTTTCAATTCAGCTAACAATAATAGAAATCTATACAAATATAACGACATTGCAGTTTCTGATAATGTCATCATTGGTGCTGAAACTGAGCCAAAGAAAATTATACATTGATAGAAATTCTTTCACCATTGCCATTCCACACTGCACAGCTAATTCACACAGTGCAGTGACAACAAAACTAGTGATATATTTCTTTCTAACTAGCATAGGAATTAGTTCACCCAAGAACATCCAGATACCAGATTTACCAATGCCTTTTCTAACATCAAGAACTATAAAATTATAAAGGGTATTGATTAATCACATGATGAGAAGTTTACTTGATTCTATAGATGTATGATCAGTTCATGATTCACATAATTGTAACAATTAATGAGTTAACTGGATTCTAGATCGACATTTTCCAGGCAAGGCTATCGATCTTCTCGACAATGCTTGCCCCAATGTTAGGGCAGAGTTTAAAGGAATCTTCAAAGAAAAGTTTGAACTGGGTTAGGATGTGCTGCGAAACCCAATGGATCATTTTTATTCCTCAGGCAAACTGAGAAAGAGAAAACCGAGCTCATAAAGGGTCTCTCCCATGTTCGTTGTGATAGGGTGACAAAATTCATCCGTATCAATATGATAGACTATATAGAAAAACATAGTGTTTCTAAAATAATTGGGGTAATATCTATTTGAGATATTTGAATGATGGAGTTTTTATACATCTGGCCAAAGATGATTCCAAATTGGTTGGCAGCTGAACTGAAGATCACTGAAGATCCCTGCAGATCCTTGTATTGGTATAAATCATACCTCATATGTTTAGGGACTCAACCAATCTTCATATGTTTAGGAACTCAATCAATTAGCTCCAATAAGATCCGTGATAAATAATTTATCATGATCTTTTGTATTTAAGAGTTTAGATATGCTTGTTGTATATATAAAGTACATAGTTGTGTTTGTGAGACATATACAAAAATCTTTTACAAAGGCTATTGCTCTCTCTGATTGTTCAAGTTATAGGGTCAATAGATCCCCTTTTAGTTCCGTCCTTGGCCACAAAGTTGCACACTCGACAATATGGATGGAAACAGCAATCAAGATTAACCAAGTGTAAGTTGGTGGGCTGTGGAGAATGTGAGAAATTCCAAAGCAAGATTATTTATTCTCTTAAATAAGCTTAATAATACGATAAACGAAAGAAGTAGAAATGATATAGTTCATTAGTTTTTTTATTTAAATGTAAAGAAAAGAAATAGGATACTTTAGATTGTCACCAAGATAATTATTCTTAGATTGATATCATAAAGAGAAAAAGGAAGGTTGCTCTTGGCAACCCTAAGTTACTTTTTCCAATATCATTACAAAGATACTACTCTACTTGCTAGGAAATTCTAGTACATGGGTTTGGACTTATCATAAGTCATGATATTGGGCTATATCATTGGTGGTGGATGGATTTTACGAGATTCAGAGAGCGTTTTCAGATATTGATCGACTAATGTGGCTGTATGAGGAATGCAAAAATGCATAGATGTGTTGGAAACATAGGCCAAAAGCTTTTACCAAAAAAAAAAATAGGCCAAAAGCTTTTACCAAAAAAAAATATAGGCCAAAAGCTTTTACCAAAAAAAAACATAGGCCAAAAAGCAGAATTTGGGCGTCGAATTATTTTTTGGTTTATGGGATTTAGAAGAGTGAGATCTGAAGAAGATGCAAAAACATTCATGGATGCTATTCAGAGTGAAACTCGTGCGCTAAGAAACCTGTTGCGGGACATTCAAAAATACTTCATTAGCGAAAATGATAACATTTGATGAATAATAGGACAACATAAATCCAAATAATGAATCAAATCATGCCACGTGGCAGACTATTAGTGACAAGCTAACCTACCTAACTAGATAAGATAATATCAAACGAAAAAAGAGAATTAATGACTGGTGTTTATGGAAAATTGTTATTTTTTCTTTCTAAATAAGCTTCCTTTTTTGCCTTTTTATTGGTCAGAATTAAAAAAAACTTCCTTATAAGCAAGATTCACACCTTAACAAATAGAAATTAATAATGAGACAAATTATAACGCATATAAACTGTTCACGTTGGTAATGTGCATTGTCCAAGAACATGACTCTCATTACCCTCAGCAATATTTAAACACATCTGAAGCAAATGGAGAGTCCTAATAAGGATTTAATGGAAACCAATCCAAGAAAACTTAGAGCCTTTTGTTTCATTTGGCTAATAGTATGTATATTTGTATTGCTTGTTTGTGTAATACTCTCCAGAGCAGAAGAAAAAGACGAAAACAATGATGATCATATGCCAAGGATTTACTCTGTCTTGGTTGAAGGAGAACCTTTGGCCTTTCGCGCTGCTGCTAACATCAACAGGTTCAAATCAATATTTTTGTACATTTTGATATTTAAATAAATTATTGTATTAAAAGGTTAAATATACTTGGTTTATCTCATCTATTAGTGCTGATTTTCTCATCATCAATGTTTAATAACTCTATCTTGGCTTGACCAATTTGTAACTTTATTGATAAGTATCATATATATGGTTGGAGGCAAAATATATCCTTAATTTGCAACTTTTCAATATATAATATTTTGTCTGATGTTTTTTCCTCTGTTTAGAATTTTGTCATGAGTTTTTCTGTTATAAGATTTTTTTATAACAAATAACTTGAATTAAACTCGATTTATACGACTAATATAGGTTCTTCATAAGTGCATTTTATAATTTAGGCAAGGATGGTTTGATAGGTATGATAACACCTTTTTGGGATACTTTTCTCTAGTTGATCACTCATCATGCAAACAAGATATGACAACTTTATATTCGTGCTTGATTTATATGTTGAGATTAATTAAATTTGATGTCGGACAATCAGCAAAGTTATGGCAGCCGAAGAAAAGAAGCTAGAAGAGATTCACGTAAAAATACTGGGAAACACACTTGAAAATGGAAGTTATACAAAGCTTTATAGCTTCAAACATATCATCAATGCTTTCGCAGTCCGTACAACTCCTTCTCAGGTTCTCCTCACCCCCCAAAAATAAATAATAACTCTACATTTTACGGTTTGATTTTGCTATGTTTCCGGTTCTCCTCCAATGCATGATTTAAATTTTATTAAGTGAGTCCACTTCAGGGATTTTAAATGCGTAATTAGGATTAGTCAAATCAATTGCTTTTCTCTTATACTCCAATCTAATGTAGGTTTTGAATCACTCCCCCATCTCAATTTGGTTTGCTTCTACCTTTGGTTTACTTTGGCTTTGTTTAACCGGAAACGATCCTCTTTGATACTTGCAGGCCAAGAAACTGAAGAAAGCAAAAGGAGTGAAGGCAGTGGAAGAAGACAAAGGAGTAAAACTAATGACAACATACACTCCCGATTTCTTGGAACTTCCTCAACAAGTCTGGCCAAAAATCTCCAGCGACGGAGACAAACTTGCCGGAGAAGACATCGTAATCGGTTTCGTGGACACCGGAATTAACCCTACTCATCCGAGCTTTGCCGCACTCGATCTCACCAACCCTTTCTCAACGAATCTCTCACGTTTAAATTTCTCCGGCGACTGTGAGACCGGTCCTCTCTTCCCCGCAGGGTCTTGTAACGGAAAAATCATCTCCGCTAGGTTCTTTTCCGCCGGAGCTCGAGCTTCCGTTGCTCTCAACGGCTCTTTGGATATACTCTCTCCCTTCGATGCCTCCGGTCACGGAAGGTATAAACATGTTGCATGTCTCTATCATTTTTTTTTCCAGTCAATTATAAACACATGTTGCTCTCCAAGTTATCTGCAATAGTTATACATTATGTATGTTGCATAAATATGAACTATATAATAAGATTTAATTTGGTCGGTTTGGTTCAGCCATGTGGCGTCCATCGCAGCCGGAAACGCTGGAGTTCCGGTGATGGTCGACGGATTCTTTTACGGACGGGCCAGTGGTATGGCCCCACGCGCACGGTTCGTCATAAAATCAAATTAATTAGCTTATATATTAAGTTCTGAATACTCTCTAGCTAATTTGTTTATAAACTATTTACGAGTTATTTAACTGGTCAACGATACAGAATAGCAGTTTACAAGGCGATTTATCCATCAATCGGTACTCTTGTTGACGTAATTGCAGCCATCGACCAAGTAAACAAGAAGCACAAATATATTAAGCCTCATAAATTTTCCACAAATGTCTTTAACCCTTTTTATTTATTTACTAAATTTTTATTTTGGGACAGGCAATAATAGACGGTGTAGATGTGCTGACACTGTCGGTGGGGCCGGACGAACCGCCGATTGGTAAACCGACAGTGCTAGGGATTTTCGACCTTGCAATGCTATTGGCTAGAAAAGCAGGGGTCTTTGTGGTTCAAGCCGCAGGGAATCATGGTCCATCACCGGCTTCTGTCCTGTCTTATAGTCCATGGGTTGTTGGTGTCGCCGCTGGAAACACGGACCGGTCTTACCCTGCTTCCCTTATACTCGACGGTGGCCAGATTGTTCAGGGCGTTGGTCTATCAGGTAAATCTAATTAATTTCTTTTTTATAAACAGTTGCTTCAACTCCAAATTACTCTATATAAAACTCCAAAAAATTTATTCAAAACTTATTTGAAAAACCTAACTTGTTTTCCAAATTTCGACAACCCTCAATAAAGCATTTTTTAAATAACATTTTCACCATTTACCGAAAATCGTATGTTTTTTTAAAATTTTTTTAAAGAATTGATCAATTTTTAAATATAACATTTTTGGTGCTAACTGCGAAAAAAATATAATCCATTTTTTAATTGATTTTATTCATAATTTGAATAAGACATAGGTAGCAATATAGATATCACTCGAACGTTTAAATTGTGTGGACCATGTTACAACGTCGTATCAGTTTTGATCATTGTTTAAATTGATTACAATATTCATAAAAGAAAGAAGGAATTACTTTTTTTTTTTTTTTAAATTAAAGGTCCAACTTTTGGAGGTCCTTTACTTCAACACAGGTTAGTCTTAGCCAAAGATGCAGTTAGAACAAACGGCTCGGTTCTACAAACCCTAACCGGAGACATCGAAGAATGCCAACGGCCAGAGAATTTTGATCCGGCGGTGGTTTTTGGAAGTATTGTGATCTGTACGTTCTCTGACGGATTCTACAATCAGAGATCGACCGTCCAAGCCATTATTCAAACCGCAAGGACTCTTCAGTTCACAGGTTTCATACTCATTGCTAACCCAAGATTTGGCGACTATGTTGCAGAACCGGTTATATTTTCGGCTCCTGGCATTCTAATCCCAAAAGTACTAGATTCACAGGTAAGTCAAGTCCATCAAAAACTACAACTAATAATAATGTTTTAGCATCATAGATTCTCAACATAAGTACATATTACGGAGAATCTATTATTTTAGATTATTTTGAGGTATTACGAAGAGAAAACCTACAGAGACAAGAGAGGAATAGTGACGCAGTTCAGTGCACGAGCCAGAATCAGCGAAGGCCGAAACTCGGTCTTGGCGGGAGAAGCACCGGTGGTGAGTAGATTCTCGTCGAGAGGGCCGGCTTTTATCAATGCAAATCGGAATCCTTTAGATGTCCTTAAGCCAGATATTCTTGCACCTGGTCACCAAATTTGGGGAGCATGGAGCCTTCTTAGTGCATTTGATCCTATTCTCACAGGTTTTTTACTTTTACACTACTCATGTTTTCTATCTTTTGAAAGTGACCCCTTAAGTTTAAAATCGTTTGCGTGAGTAGGAAGGAGTTTTGCCATGTTGTCGGGAACTAGTATGGCAGCTCCTCATATAGCTGGGATCAGCGCGTTAATAAAGCAACTTAATCCTTCTTGGACTCCAGCAATGATTGCGTCGGCCATCTCCACCACAGCCACCGGATTTGATAGTTCTGGTGAAGTTATATCTGCGGAGACTTATGGAATTGGCATATTGGTTCCGTCTAATCATTTCGATCATGGTGCTGGCCATGTTAATCCCGCTAGAGCCATAGATCCAGGGCTGGTTTTACCCACAGGTAACTACTTTTTACTTATAATGGGAGAGAATTGATAAATTAAATAGTTAGTGATTTTGATGTAATAAATAAAAAGACTTGGGGTACTTTCCATAATACCATTTTTTTCTGTCATTGGACCAGGTTTCGAAGACTACATCAGTTTCTTGTGTTCACTGCCAAACATTAACCCGACCACAATTCGAGCGGCCACCGGAGTCTGGTGCACCACTGTGCTTAGCCACCCCGCGAACCTTAACCATCCATCAGTGACTATATCTGCACTTAAAGAGTCACTTGTGGTGAGAAGAAGTTTCCAAAACGTCTCCAACAAGACCGAGACATATCTTGGTTCGGTTATACCTCCCAATGGTACAGCCGTACGGTTGATCCCATCTTGGTTTACTATACAGGCACAGAGAATCCAAGAGCTGGACATCGAGTTCAATGTCACACAAGTCGTAAACCAGTTTACATTTGGTGAAATCGTTCTTACTGGAAGCTTAAACCATATAGTAAGAATACCGTTGTCGGTTAAGACCATACCGTTTTAAAAAGTATAGCTCTTTTTGTTTTAATTTCATTAGTTCTCATTAAAAAAAATTTATGGGTATTATATCGGATTTGATTTCACATACATTGTTCTTGTTCTCAACGAAATGGTTGTGACAAACTACAAGTTGAGTAAAACAAATATAATTTGGTATGTTATGTTACAGAAATTTCTCGTTCACAAACAGAAAGAGTCAGCCACAAAAGGAGGAACAACAATCACTTATATTCTCAATATAACACTAGAATTTTACAAATACATAACCAAATAAAGTGCAAGCGTACACTTTTAAAGTTGGAGTACAATCATAAACACTCATCATTCTTACATAATATCACATAGCTATGTTATACAGAAAGAACGGATTACATAAGAATCTCATTCATATGAAGTCTTTAAAGGTCTACACACATATATTTCGAAAATTATAGACTTAACTAGACTGAGCAGTCATGACAATCAATATCAACGATAAGGAGGTGGATTTGGTCCAAGAGGTCTTGGAAACCAGAGAGCTCCGGGAGGTGGACGAGGTGGCTGAGGTCCCCGAGGATTAGGATGAGAAGAAGGAGGAGGAGGAGGGTGTGGTTCTGGATGCGGTGGTCTTGGTGGCTGTGGGTTGTCCTTAGGAGGAGGAGGACGACGAGGAGGAGGATGAGGCATTTTGATTTTGAGCTTTGTTATTGTAATATTTGTGTTGTGTACTTGGTTTATTTAACAGCAAGATTGAAACATCATTGTTACCAACAAGTCTTTGAAAGTGTAAAAGAATCTCACTAGTAATATGTTTGGTATAATGGAATGGTAGTTATCCACCTAATCTTCTAGCCAACTTAGTCTAGACTCTAGAGAGAAATTTTCTTGGTGAGATAAATTTGACTGAATAGTAGCATTTTGTTGTGAGTCCACAACTATTGTTCAAAACTAAAATAGTGAAATTGGTGTTTGAAGTATTCCTACTAAAAAGTATGAAAACCTCTTTCTTATCCTGCACCATTCCGTTTATCAAACCAAATCTTGGTATCTCCAGTACCAAAATCACTAAACCAAGATATGACAACTTTGAATTCGTGCTTAATTATATGTTGTGATTAATTACATTTGATGTCGGACAATCAGCAAAGTTATGGCAGCTGAAGCAAAGAAGATAGAAGAGATTCCCTTAAAAATACTTGGAAGCACACTTGAAAATGGAAGTTATACAAAGCTTTATAGCCTCAAACATATCACCAATGCTTTCGCAGTCCGTACGACTCCTTTTCAGGTTCTCCTCACCTCCAAAAGTTAATAACTCTATCCGGTTTGATTATACTATGTTTCCGGTTTTGTTCCAATGCATTATTCAAATTTTATAAATCGAGTCCAATTTTCAAACTTCAGGGAATTTAAATGCGTAATTAGGATTAGTCGTTAGTCAAATCAATAGCTTTTCATTAATTGTCCAATCTAATGTAGGTTTTACATCAATCCCCCATCTCAATTTGGTTTGCTTCTACCTTTGGTTTACTTTGGCTTTGTTAAACCGGAAACGATCCTCTTTAATACTTGCAGGCCAAGAAACTGAAGAAAGGAAATGGAGTGAAGGCAGTAGAAGAAGACAAACGAGTGAAACTAATGACAATATACACTCCCAATTTCTTGGAACTTCCTCAACAAGTCTGGCCAAAGATCTCCAGCGACGGAGACAGACATGTGACTGTGAGACCGGTCCTCTCTTCCCCGAGGGATCTCGTAACGGAAAAATCATCTCCGCAAGGTTCTTTTCCGCCGGAGAGCTTCCGTTGCTCTCAACGGCTCCTTGGATATACTCTCTCCCTTCGATCCTTCCCGTCATGGAAGGTATAAATATGTTGCATGTCACTATCATTTTGTTTCAATTTTAAATATATCTTACGTTTTGGTAAACTATTAGAAAAGTTAGCCTCACGCGCACGGTTGGTCATAAAATCAAATTATAATTAGCTCATATATTAAGTTTTAAGACTAATAGTACTCTCTAATTTGTTTTTAAACTATTTAACGAGTTATATTAATTGGTCCACGTGACAGAATAGCCGTTTACAAGGCGATTTACCCATCGATAGGTAATTCTTGTTGACGTAATTGCAGCCATCGACCAAGTAAACCAGAAACACAAAGACTAAAAAGCCACATTTTTCCCAAAGTGTCTTTACCCATTTTTATATAATTACTAAGTTTTAATTTTATTGGGACAGGCAATAATGGACGGTGTAGATGTGCTGACACTGTCGGTGGGACCGGACAAGCTGCCGGTTAGATAACAGTGTTTGGGATCTTGGACCTCGCAATGCTATTGGCTAGAAAAGCAGGCGTGTTTGTGGTTCAAGCTGAAGGGAATCATGGTCCTTCACCGGCTTCTGTCCTGTCTTATAGTCCGTGGGTTGTTGGTGTCGCAGCCGGAAACACGTACTGTTCTTATCCTGCCTCCTTCATACTCGACGGTGGCCAGACCGTTCAGAGCGTTGGTCTATCAGGTAAAATCTAATTAACTTCTTTTATTTTTTTTATATAAACTATTGCTTCAACTCCAAGTTACTCCATAAAACTCCAAAAATTTTCATTCAAAACTTATTTGAAAAACCAAACATGTTTTGCGAGTTTCAGCAATCCTCAATAGAGCATTTTCTATAGAAAATTTAAAACCATTTACCGAAAATCGTATGCTTTCTTAAATTTTGGAAGAATTAGCCTATTTTTTAATACAACGTTTTTGGTGCTAACTGCTAAATAAATAGAATTCATTTTTGAATTGATTTTATTCCTGTTTCCAACAAGACATAGGTAGCATTGTAGATATCACTTGAAATAAAATAGTTTATGGACCATGTTACAACGTCGTAGCAGTTTTGATCATTGTGGTTACAATATTCATAAAAGAAAATAGGAATTTACTTTTTTCTTCATTTTGGGAACTAAATCTGGGGAGCATGGAGCCTTCCTAGTGTATTTGATCCCATACTCTCAGGTTTTTACTTTTACATCACTCATATTTTCTATGTTTTGAAATTTACCTCCTAAATTTCAAATTGTTTGTGTGAGTAGGAAGGAGCTTTGCGATGTTGTCGGGAACAAGCATGGCAACTCCTCATATAGAAGGGATCAGTGCGTTCATAAAGCAGCTTAATTCTTCTTGGGCTCCGGTGATGACTGCATCAGCCATCTCCATCACAGCCACCAGATTTGATAATTTTGATGAAGTTATATCTGCGGAGACTTATAGAATTGGCAGATTGGTCCCATCTAATCAATTTGATCATGGCGATGGCCATGTTAATCCGGCTAGAGCCATAGATCCACGGCTGGTTTTACCCACAGGTAACTACTTTTTACTTATCACGGGTGTGAATTGAAAACTTAAAAGGTTAGTGACTTTTATGTAATTAGAAAAAAACATTGTGGTACTTTTAATAATACCAATTTTTGTTCATTGGACCAGGTTTTGAAGACTACATCAGTTTCTTGTGTTCACTGCCAAATATTAACTCGACCATGGTTCTAGCCGCCACTAGAGTCTGGTGCACCACTGCGCTTAGCTACCCTGCGAACCTTAACCATCCATCAGTGACTATATCTGCACTTAAAGGGTCACTTGTGGTGAGAAGAAGTTTCCAAAACGTCTCCAACAAGACCGAGACAAATCTTGGTTTGGTTTTACCTCCCACTGGTATAGCCATACGGTTGATCCCATCTTGGTTTACTATATGAGTACAGAGAATCCAAGATCTAGACATTGTGTTCGATGTTACAGAAGTCCTAAACCAGTTTACAGTTGGTGAAATCGTTCTTACTGGAAGCTTAAACCATATTATAAGAATACCGTTATCGGTTAAGACCATACCGTTTTGAAAAACATAGCTCTTTTTGTTTTAAAATCATTAGTCTTCATTAAAAAAAAACAATTATGTGGTATTTTTATCGTATTTGATTAATTTTCTTGTTTTTTTTTCACATACATTGTTCTTGTTGTTTTCAACGAAATGGTTGTGACACACTACAAGTTGAGTAAAACAAATATAATTTGGTATGTTATGTTACAGAAATTTCTAGTTCACAAACAGAAAGAGTCAGCCACAAAAAGGATGAACAACAATCACTTATATTCTCAATATAACACTAGAATTTTACAAATACATAACCAAATAAAGTGCAAGCGTACCCTTTTGAGGTTGGAGTACAATCATAAACTCTCATCATTCTTACATAATATCACATAGCTATGTTATACAGAAAGAACGGATTACATAAGAATCTCATTCATATGAAGTCTTTAAAGGTCTACACACATATATTTCGAAAATTATATACTTAACTAGACTGAGCAGTCATCATCAATATCAACGATAAGGAGGTGGATTTGGTCCAAGCGGTTTTGGAAACCAGAGAGCTCCAGGAGGTGGACGAGGTGGCTGAGGTCCCCGAGGATGAGGATGAGAAGAATTAGGAGGGTGCGGCTCTGGATGCGGTGGTCTTGGTGGCTGTGGGTGGTGGGTAGGAGGAGGAGGACGACGAGGAGGAGGATGAGGCATTTTGATTTTGAGCTTTGTTACTGTAATATTTGTGTTGTGTACTTGGTTTATTTAACAGCAAGATTGAACATCATTGTTACCAACAAGTCTTTGAAAGTGTAAAAGAATCTCACTAGTAATATGTTTGGTATAATGGAATGGTAGTTATCCACCTAATCTTCTAGCCAACTTAGTCTAGACTCTAGAGAAAATTTTTATTTGGTGAGATAAATTTTCTTGAAGCGTATTATTTTGTTGTGAGTCCACAATTATTGTTCATAGTGAAATTGGTGTTTGAAATGTTGTTACTACCAAAAAGTTTGAAACCCTCTTTCTTTCGATTTACCAAACCAAATCTTGGTATTAACAGTACCAAAATCACCAAAACCAAATATACCAGTAATAGATAAACTCGAATGTGTAGCCGCTATAAATACCGTAGAATCTATGATACACCGTTTAAAGAAAAAAAAAATGAACCGAACCGAACCGCAATGTTTGAACAAAGAATCAATCTTCATAACACATACATTCTTTACATCTTGGGTAACGGTAAACGCTGCGTCCCGTTGGTCTAACCAATACATGTTTGGTTTGCCTAACGTTTTTTCTCACTCTCTGCTCGAACACTTTCCACTCTATCGTATTGTTCTTCAACAATATGTCCGAGAATCTCCTTTTGTTCGGTCTAATCGTCGGCATCTTCCCTGTTCCGTAATAAATCCTGTAACCAGAAACCAGAGACGACAGTTGACTCCCTGAATCCGTCATCGCAAACGCGTCTGATGCAGCGCACGCTATGAAATCAAGAACCGCTAGCTACAAAAGAAATATCAATCTCGCGGTTAAATTTTGGTTAGACGATAAACCGAAAAGTTATTTGTTCTTGCGGGTTTGTTCATTTCACCTGAGATGAGTGGTTCTTGAAAGGCTCAAGCTCGGTTTCAGAGAGTACATTCTCTTTGGTGACGAGATTTGGGTAAAGACTAGTTAAAGCGGCTAAACGTTTCGTCCCACCGTAAATATTCGCACCAGCCACGAAAACGCGTGTCTTGCGGTTGAAACCAAGACCCGCGAGCATAAGCACGGCTTCTTCAGGTGATAATGGGCAAAGCCCTTCCGTCCTCAAATCTTCCGGCGATGGCATTCTACAAAAAGAAACATAAAGAAACCAAAATTGCTTATTGTTAAGGCCAAAACAGAGGAAAAAAACAGAGTAAAGAGAGATAAAAGAAAAACAAACGTTTTCGTCTTTGTTAGATTTGCCAGTGTTGGGAAATGCTTTTCCCGGTAAGCATCAAGCTCTCTCTTCTCCGCATCGCCGCCTCCAAAATAGCAAAGAGAATGAGCCACCATATCGATCTCGAACCTGAGATGGACTGCTAGATACTTTGAAGCCTTATGGAGAGGACCAGCCTTCTTGTCTAATATGAAAGATGCAAACTTTGGACCAACGAGATACGGATCCACCGGTGCAAGGTGTGATCCGCTATCTCGTAATCTCCTCACGAGAATCGCACCCGTTTCTTGTATCTTTGGAACGAAGCTTAGCGCGTGAAAGTTACATCTACAACGCAGTCTCTACTTCCAAAAAAAAAAAGTTTGGATTACTGACAGGTCAGAGATTGATATGAGTCACAGAGTGCTAAAAGAGGAAGTCTTTTTACCTGTAACTGAAACGGTATTGGATCAAAGGCCAAGCGGTTTCCGAATCCGAAGAAATGGACTACTCTGTTCTTGAGTAGAAGAGGGAGAATATGTTTCATATAAAACCCTGGCTTGGCTTCTTTCATTACGTCCATATCCGTAACCTTAAGAGATAAAATGACAAAAGAAGTATAAACAAAAAGACAAAAGATGAAAATCGGTTATTGAATTGGTATAAAGAACTTACAACGCTGCTAATGGCTTCAAGGTCTAGAGACTGAAGCTCCTTTGGTAGTTTCTTTACTATTCGAATATCCGGAGATAGATACTTTATAAAATGTTCCACTTGATAGATATCTCCAAACTGACTATGAAAAGCATATATATAATGTCATCGATTTTGTCGAAAAAAAAAAGAACCATTAATGGTAAGTGAGGGAGCGAGAGAATGGAGGGACCTTACAATAGTTACCTTGCATCGGTCCAGACATCGCTGAACATAAATTTGGGAACAACGAGTGTTGCATTGAGTAACCGAGCGATAACAACAATGTTACAAACCTGTTTATAATTCCAAAGGTTAGTCAATAATTCATAAAGTTGGACAAAGAAATGTATAAACGCAATCACAACTTACAGCAACTCTCTGTTGATTGATCCCACCATTTGCAGTTACCATTATATATCCATTTTTCCCATCTAATATCCACAACCAAAAAGAAACCAGAATCAGGGACATTTATCAAAACAAGTCTAGCACAAGAGGTGTGAACATTACAGAGAAAAAGAGTGAGAGACCGTTTGGTTTCCAAGAACGTTGATCAGCACAAGGCTTCCAAGCCAAAGCTTGGTCCTTTGGTTCTCGCCACAACTCTTTCGGCTCAAGTTTGTTTTGCCCCTAACCAAACAATGTGATGAGCGGGTTTCCAGTTTAACTTTGAAATGTGAATTTGTGATGCATAAACAGTTTGAAGAAATACTTATAATAAAGTTACCTCAGCCAAAGCATGAGCAGCCAAAGCCAACATTCTACCATAAGTTCCGTTATATTTCTTCTTTGGTTTTCCCATCTTTTTCTTCTCTCCATGCTATCAATCACAGTTACACAACAACAAAAGTTTACATCAAATGTAACTCCATAAACATCAATCCATAAAGCCAAAGCCAACATTTTTTTCTTGAAAAAACCAAAGCCAACATTACATAACTCAAAAGAACTCTTTCAAAGATACACTACTATTATTATTTTTTTGAACAAAGAGATACACTACTATTTACCATGTAAGAAAACTCTACAAATGTATAATTGATTACCACTTACCACCTTAGTTTCATATTTCATCGAGCAATCTAACAAAAGTAAAAACTTTCCTAACTAATATTTGAAATTGTATATAAGTTCAATTTATTTAAAACATTCAACCGTTGGTTTGAGTTAAACTGAAAACCCTTTTACTCTACTTTTTTGTGGTAAAAGCTAAAATCTTTTTGGGAATTTGAAAATGACTTAGACAGAAGAAACAGACAGTTAAAACTTTAAAATAACAATTATTGACCATCACATTCCCTAATTAATTACCTGTACAGACGCCGACACTCTAACAGAAGCACGTTTCACACCCGGACTCAGATTCGGATTCGGATCCAAGTTTAGTTTCGGGTTCGGTTTTGGATTCCGGTTTTTAGAGAATCCTCTACGAAGCCAAGCCCGACCTTCATGGAGCTGAGAGAGCATAAACCAATTGACAAAAATGAAGAAACCCACAAGTGCGATTACTCCCACGGCGGTTTTCGCCGTTCGAATTCTCTTCCGTTTTCCTCGCTTAACCGGATTTTTCGGATTCCGGTTCGAATCTCCGTTGATCCAAGACCAAATCGACCCGACAAATTCCGACCCACTATTCCGAATCTTTTCTCCAGCTACTTCAGAAAACCGAGTTGGGCCGAGACGGGTCGGAGATTGAACCGGAGAAGCTCCTCCATGGATCCGATCTTGGACTCGAACTTCGCAAGTCTCAGGTTTCTCTTCGTCAGGTCTCTCCTGAGCCATAGGGAAGATCACACAGCTCACTTTTTCTCTCTCTTTTCTTGTCGAGAAAGATTTGCCGAATTTAACGAAGCTTGAGTGAAGAGAGAGAGAGAGAGAGTTTGCTGGAGTTTCAGTGAGGATTATTATTTTCTTTTGTCCGAACGTAAAATAGTAATAATAATGGTTCTAATCCTTGAGATTGACGCTGGTATTAAATTAAGGTCCCTTGTCCTTTAAAATTATTTTATCTTTACCTCTTATTCTATCTAATACGAACGCCAACCTTAAGTCCTTCGTGTTTCTAATTTTATGAAAGAAAAAAAATTGATAACTTATTTTGTGAAAGAAAACAAATTGATCAAGTAGACCGTTCTTAATCATTATGTATAAGTCTTCAATTGGAAAATAATTATAAAAGAGTAAAATTTATTAGGTGAAATGTAAGGTTAGATTAACTCCTTTCTTACTACTATATGCAACTTGCTGAAAAACTAATTTATTACTTGAATAATTGTTGAACTACCTACTAGCTATATTTATGACTTGAATAATTTATTGGGTGAATTTGTTCAATAACCAAAATTGACCATAAATTAAAGAACATATCACACTAATTGGTTAAAAGAAGCAAGTAATCATGTTACTTGGTAACTTAGGTTAGTGTACAAAGAACAATCTACAAAACGAAAGCAACAACAACATAATGCATCTTTTGGCACCTTTGATGGCTTCTTGAAGTTCCACATTCTTCAACATTTGCTTCATGCATATTTCAACATTTATCTATAACATTTGGCCCTCTTTTACTATTGTGTCTTTCCATTTATCTAGTCAACCCTTTGGAGATTTACTGCGTTGTGTACTTACCAAACAGGTTCCTAACCCAAAAAAAAAAAACAGATCATGCAGACACTGAACACTCATGTACAAGCTTAAGAAGAAAATAGTGAAATCTTCACACTTCTAATGGAAAAGGTTGTGTTATATTAAACAACCGTCTTCTACGACGTAACAAATTTCGTTGTTCAAATCAGTTTACAACCTTTTCTTTTAATTTTTGAATTGTGTTGAAAATCAATAGCTTTCTCTGTTTTGTACAGTAGAAAGGCTAATGTTCGAAGAGCTTTTCGAAGATGAACCTTATCATCTTTTCAAATATGTTTTCACCTTCTCATTTTTTGTGGAAATCCTTTTTAGATTAATATAGAACTTTTCAACTTGGACAGAAATATGTTCATGCTACTTTAAAGTTATGTTGGATGCATATATAAAATATAGACAAAATAGTTAGCTTCTAATGCCATTAGAGATCCGGTTATCGAATTAAATGACAAGAGCTTAATTAAATGTTTGATTAAACTGATCCTTAATTGTATATGAAAACAATTAGCTTCCACCAAACCAAAAAAAGACTTTTACTTTTTCACATAAACGGAGGTTAGTTTTGTCAAACAAAAACAATCGAAGATTTTGAAAACAGATTGGATCTGAGAAAGAAAAAAGAGAGCGAGAGAGATCGGCAACGAAGAAGAAGCTCCGGTGCCAAACGTTATTGGCTGCCATGTTCACCGATGACGACAATCCAGACGATTCTCGTCAGTTTCATGCTTCTGTACGACTTCTTCACCTTTCTTCTCCATCTTCATTTGATTGATTCTTTCAAAATCTAAGTTCGAATTGAATGATTCTCGAACGTTCACCCATCGTCGAAGTTTCTTTTGGAGCTTGCTTTGAATTCGATAAGAATCTTACGAATTTTGGATTTTGGTTTTACCAATTTTGAGTTTGGTGATCAGATTGAGGTCAAAATTAGGTTTTAATATGCTAATGACCTTGTAGATATCCATGGCGAGGAGATTCGCAGTGATTGGATTCTTGTTCCTCCTTTTAGTTGGTACAACCTCGTCAGCGAGATCTGATGAAGAAACCCGGGAGCGGTTTTACGGCAATCTGGTGAACTCGACTGCGCCGGGAAACGGTGAAGGGAGTATCGCCAAAATGTTCGATCGAGTTCTCGAGAAAGAGTTCTCCGAAAACGATCAGCCTGAAGGTTAGGTTCTGAGAAAAGGACTAATTCCTCCTATACTAGCTTTTTCGTCTATTCACTTCTGTGGCTATTGTTTGAAACGTTGACAAAGTTAGAGAGAAGAACAGTTTCTTGTTGATGTGATGAAGTAATCGGAACATAGAAGGGGTTTATGCATGATATTCTATGGTTTGTGATTGTGAGTGCGTTTAGGTTGGTGGGTGGTGAAGCTTACATCTTCTATTCGCTTAACCCAAGTTTCTTTGCTTAGGGTCGGATGGAGGAGCCAGCTTTAACAGTAGTGTTGCTGATCAACAAGTAGGTTTCAGTCGCTTCTTATTGTTTACGAGTGTCATCTTTGATGTTCTTTACATCTGCATTCAGATTTCTCCCTTCTGATGTTTGCCATTGTGTTTTCCAGGCTGAAATAGAGACTGTAGCGAAAGTAACGCATGAGAAGGGCAAAAGAAATGATACACAAGAAAACAAGTACGTGGAAGCTTGTTCTAATTGTTGCAAGTAGCTAATATGGTTAATTGTTCAATGATGGTTTATAACTCATTTCTCCCTATTTCTTTTTCTGTTTGCTCAGCGGTACCAGACCATTCCAACTTCAAGATGTGTTTTCCCTGGAAAATGAAGATTCTGATGATATGACTCTTATTGACAAAAAGGTTTTGGAACACTAAGCAAGATTTTCTATGCCTCTGTCACCATTTTTTTTTCAGTGCAACTAATGTTCTTCTCCTGGTATTTTGCAGAACAATGTTTTTGTCATGTCAAACAAAAAATCTAAGTATCCGATACTTCAAGTAGATCTGAGGTTATTTATTCCCTCTCTGATTTCCTCTGTATACAGCATTTGATTACATCCTCTGTTTCAGGCTTTTGATGAAAAGTTGCTTGGCAATTCCCGCAGATTGATATCAGATTTGGTGGTCATTATTGTTTTTGCTGCGATTGGTGGCATTGTCTTCTCGTGTCTTGGACAACCGGTATGAAGCCTTACAAATTAGTATGAAAGACATCTGATCTTGGAGTTGTAGTATCCTGGCTTCACATTGTCGTGAATTATCTATTCTGATGTGATGTTGCATTATCGCTACATGTTTTAGGTCATTGTTGGATATCTTCTTGCGGGGTCAATCATTGGGCCGGGAGGACTAAAATTTATCAGTGAAATGGTTCAGGTATTTATATATATTGGAAGACATTTTTTTTGTTAGTTACTGTCTTATAAATAATTGTATTGGGACATTTTTTTTTGTTACGGCGATGTTCTCAGTTCTCACATGTATCTGTTGTTCATAATATAATCTACTGTAAAGCAGTCAGATCTTCGATGAGTTATTCATTTAATCAGTTTACTTTGTCATTCATTTTGACTGGTATTCATAATATTTGCGTTTCTTCTTCTGATGTGGCAGGTTGAAACCGTAGCCCAGTTCGGTGTTGTTTTCCTCCTTTTTGCTTTGGGCTTGGAATTCTCAATGACTAAGGTAGCATTCGTTGGTTGTTAACTCTAGCTAAACTAAGATTTCTTATGGACTTTACGATCTCACTTAATAATCTGTTGTTCTGCAGCTGAAAGTTGTTGGCCCAGTTGCTATCCTTGGAGGACTTCTTCAAATTGTCTTACTTATGTTTTTGTGTGGTGTAACTGCGTTGGTATGAGCATGTATGTTCTGGTGCATATATTGGCAATTTGGAAACTATTTTTAAAATTGACCTGTCAACATTTGCAGTTGTGTGGAGCAAGGTTGTCGGAGGGTATTTTTGTTGGTGCTTTTCTATCGATGTCATCAACCGCAGTGGTACCTTTCATGTCTCTTGTCTTCTCGTGTTTTGTACAAAAGCTGCTCTTTTGCTGTTTTATCCCTAAGTTTCTGTTTTTATCCACATATCAATTTGATCAGGTGGTAAAATTTTTGGTGGAACGGAACAGTACAAGTTCTCTTCATGGTCAAGTTACGATAGGGATACTTATCTTTCAGGTTTCACTGATGACATTCTATTTTTACAAATTGAATATCTCATTCTATGGAGTTTTTGTTTCTTCAGCTATTCTGTTCCTTATTTTTGAATTTTCAGGACTGTGTTGTTGGTTTACTATTTGCATTGCTTCCAGTTTTGGGTGGTAACAGTGGTTTACTACAAGGAATTATATCAATGGGAAAGCTGTGAGTGGTTTCATAGCCAGAATTTTTTCCAGGAACCTCTTACATATCCTTGTTAACGTATCTGACACAAAACATTTTCTTTGTCTAATTTAGGCTCCTGATATTGTCCATATATCTCACTGTTGCATCTCTACTAACGTGGTCATTTGTGCCTCGCTTTCTGAAGCTAATGATTCAGTTATCATCTCAAGTAAGTTTAGATCTTCCCTAGACGCTACTTTGACTATTTTCCTTTCTTTCTTTAAATAGCATCCAAATAATTGCCACTGTTTCTCATTGTGGAATGCAGACAAATGAACTTTACCAATTAGCTGCTGTGGCATTCTGCTTACTATCTGCATGGGTAAGTCTAATTTATCATTCTTTTTTAAGCATATCAGTGCTTTGTTAGCTTTCTGGTCACTTTTGATGAATAAAAAACATCGACTAAATTATAAGCTTGAATCTTAATGATGGATTACAGAAGAAAACAATGATCATTATGATAGACATTGAGTATAATTGCATATCTACGTAGTTTCCCATTCTTGACTTTATTGTTGGTTCCTTGCAAAACTTTTTCAGTGCAGTGACAAGCTGGGTCTTAGTCTTGAGTTAGGATCATTTGTGGCTGGTGTTATGCTGTCTACAACTGACTTTGCTCAACATACACTAGAGCAGGTACTAATTTCTAAAGTCAGGTTAATTTGCGCTGTGAGTACTTGGTAAGAAGTTTAAGTCTCGGGGTCGTTAACAATTTGGAATCTCACTTACTTGGTAATGCAGGTGGAACCAATTCGTAATTTATTTGCCGCTCTCTTCTTATCTAGTATCGGGATGCTTATAAATGTGCACTTTCTATGGAACCACGTGGACATCCTTCTGGCATCTGTGATTCTAGTCATAGTTATTAAGACAGCAATTGCAGCAATAGTAGTTAAGGCGTTTAGGTACAACATGAGGATATCTTTCCATGTGAGTTTTGCTCTCTTGTTTTAAAACATCAACGAGTTTCTTCATATCGAAACCCATCATCCACTAAAATTTGCTGTCACAAAATGTTACAGGTCGGGGTACTGCTTGCTCAGATTGGCGAGTTTGCCTTTGTTCTTCTAAGCCGAGCATCAAACCTACACGTTATCGAGGTGACTCCTTTTTTTTCTCTCTTGTAATTGAGCACTGTTTCACAATTTGTTTGTTACTAAATTTTTTGACTTTGGGTTATAATGACTGAACAATGTAGGGGAAAATGTATCTCCTTCTTTTGGGCACTACAGCTTTGAGTCTCGTAAGTTACCTCAACAGACTAAACAAGCCTTTCGCATTCCAATAAGAATATACTTGAAAAATGATAATAAAATACATAGTTATACTTGAAATGCTGACTGTTACAGGTGACGACTCCATTGCTGTTCAAGTTAATACCGAGTGCAATGAACCTCGGTGTCATTCTTCGATGGTTCCCTTCCGAGAATAGTTCCCCGAATGAGGTCCTTCTCTTCTCTTTTCCCATTTTTTTTTTTTTTGAATGCACAATGTGCAAGTTTATATGGTGAAAATCAAGAGAAAAACAAATATTAGTTTATGAGATTGTTTGTTTGTATTACTGTTTGCAGGAGAAAGCATCGATGATAGAAGTAGGTAACAGAACCAAGTGACCTCTCTTTTGTACATAGACTGAATATTTAAGAAGAAAACAAACAGATTTTGATCCGACAAGCTCCACGAGGAGACCAATATTAAAACTGACCAAGATCAGAACCACGACTTGCTTTTTCTCTATTTTCTTAGTTTCTTTTTGTAATTAGTATATAATTAATTAGTATTCACTACTTATACATGTAGTCTAAGCGTCTTTAGCTTATTATTCGGTGTAACAATATTAACACAATATTTTCCCATCTCGTATTGTATTTGATCTTATACTCTTAGTGCCGTGATACAAGTATTGACGTTTTTATTATCTACGGAGCTTATAGCTTTTCTTGAAACAAATTTGCATAAGAGTTGTTTTCCTTCCACTTGATTTGTGATATCGATTTAAAAACTTTCAGCTTTGTAATTGCAATAGTGTCCACCTGCTTATTTCATGAGTCAGTGTCGATTATAGATATTTTTTTATAATAGGGAAAATAACTTAGAAAAAAAAAAGTACTTTCTAAAGTATAATAGCCGATATTTTTGTGAAATTGTTTAATGCCAATTAGTAAGATGAAAATTGTACTCCCAGTATTTTTTTCTTTCAGAAATTGCCAATTAGTCATGGTATAACAAAGGAGTTAACCAAGATGGGATATGTAGACAATTTGAATAAAAGTGATTCATACTTGAAAGTATGATTAAAATATAGACTTCAACGTGATGGCACGCTATTTCGCAGAACGCGAAGTGACTGAAAAAAAAACAACAAAAAAGTGACGGCAAAAAATCGACATTTTACAAAAAAAAAAAAACACGTCGAATCATGATTACGTTTGGGCGTTTTAGTTGAATTTTTCATCATTGTGAAAATCATTGGATCGTATAGTACACGCTCCTCTTTAGGCGAGTGAAGTTTACGACACTTAAGCTAGAGATTACAGTTAATTACATTTCATATAAGCCCAATAATACTTTTGTTTTCACTCAAATTTACCCTGTGGTTTCTAAAGATTCAAATTGTATGTGGCATTTTTAATCAAAAAAATCTTCAATTATCAACTAATCCATTGTAAAATTCACAACTAAACTATTAGCAGAAATTGAAATGAGGCATTATCAATCTTGAAGACAGAGTCTACGAATAGAAGCCGACCATTGCATAAACCGAATTAGCATTTTTTTTTTTTTCTTCTTCTTCTTCTTTCTCTTTCTTCGTGTATTTTCAGCATTTTATTATATTTTGACAAAAAACGGCACGACGTCTCTTTTCATCTCTTTCTAATTTGTATGCTGTTAAAACAGAACAGAACCGATCTCTCTGTTTCTATACTCTGTTTTTCTTTCCAATCTCTCTTTTTTCTGTTTCCTCTTTAGCTTTGTATCGGAAGAAGGCGAAGTATTTTCTTTTTGTTCTTGATCAAAGACAACGCTGAAGACTTTTCGCTTGTGCAATGCTTTTTTCGTGGAGATGAATAAATTCCAAGCTTCATGACAACCAAAACATCCCCTAATTTGATTTCCGGGTTCGTCTCAACTTCATTTTTCAATCATTCTCTTACTTCTTGCACAATATTAGGAAAATAGTAAATTTTATTTTTGGTCAACTTTCTGGGCAATGGCTTTCTAAGGGTGAGATTCTTCATTTAATCGGTTCTGTAAAGTGTCAATTTCTTTGATGTTTTACACAATCTGAAACTTGATCTTTAAGTCTATAATCTAAACTCTCATTTCATGTCACTGTTTCATTGATTTATATCCACATTTTTAAATTTAGGGTTCTAAAATTTTTGCAGGTGAAGAAATTTGAAGGGTTTATATAGCTTAAGGAGATGGCTACACTAGCAGATATTGGAGTAGCAGCAGCAATAAACATTCTAAGTGCATTGATATTCCTTTTGCTGTTTGCAATCTTGAGGATCCAACCATTCAATGATAGGGTTTATTTCCCTAAATGGTACTTAAAAGGTCTTAGAAGTAACCCGGTGACTTCGGGTGCCTTTGTGAGCAAGATTGTGAATTTCGATTTTCGTTCATACATACGGTTCTTGAATTGGATTCCCGGGGCACTAAAGATGCCAGAGCCTGAACTTATTGATCATGCTGGTTTGGATTCTGCTGTTTACTTGAGGATTTACTTGATTGGGTATCGAAAATGTTCAATCCTCTTCAAAATTCTTTGCTATTGCATACAATGTGCCTTAAGTTTTTTTTAGCATAGTTCTTGAGATAGTAGAAGAAAATTACTAATAGTTGATTTGTTCTTTGTTTAGTACTATAATTTTCTTTTTCTTTTTTTGCTATTTTTACAGACTTAAGATCTTTGTTCCGATCGCATTACTTTCATGGTCAATTCTGGTACCTGTCAATTGGACAAGTGATGGATTGCAGCTAGCAAAAATTCGTAATGTAACATCGAGCAATATCGATAAGCTTTCGATTTCAAATGTCGAACGTGGATCAGACAGGTTCGTTAGAGAAAAAAAATCTGTAGTTGTTGTTACTTTGTATTCCCACTCTAATGGTTAGAATCTCATTGATTTTGGTAAAGGTTTTGGGCGCATCTTGTGATGGAATACGCATTCACATTCTGGACTTGCTATGTTCTAATGAAGGAATATGAGAAAATAGCTGCAATGCGATTAGCATTTCTCCAATCCGAGAAGCGACGTGCTGATCAATTCACCGTAAAGACACTTCTTCTAATTGATATAGTCTCATGTTTTGGTCCAACGCTATATATGAAGTAGCTACCAATTATTTAGATTATTTATTTGCACTTTAACAGGTTCTTGTTAGGAACGTACCACCGGACTCATACGAGTCAATTAGTGAAAACGTGGAGCATTTCTTTATGGTTAACCATCCAGACCATTATCTTACGAATCAGGTTAGCACAGTCTGTCCTAAAGCAATTAATCTTGATTCTTTGGTTTATCGCTGTTTTCTTGGTTTAAGCCTCTATTTGATTATGTATCTAGGTGGTTTACAATGCAAATGAATTGGCTGGCTTAGTAGCTGAGAAGAAGAAAATGCAGAATTGGTTTGATTACTACCATTTGAAGTATACAAGAAACAAGGAACAAAGACCGAGGGTAAAGGTTAATACTTGGAGTCACCCAAAACACATATTAAGAGAGAGAAGCTTCTAGATCTTGTCTAATTATGTTTCTTCTCGCAGTTGGGATTTCTCGGGATATGGGGAAAGAAAGTAGATGCCATGGATCATTACACAGCTGAGATCGAGAAACTAAGCGAGCAAGTAAGTATTTTGATCATTTTCTTGTGTTCCTGCCCATAAAAAAACAGTGTTAAACTCAATGTGACATCTTTCACAGATAATGGAAGAAAGGAAGAGAGTAAAGAAAGATGAAAAAGGTGTAATGCCAGCAGCTTTTGTCTCTTTTAAAACGCGTTGGGGAGCTGCGGTTTGCGCACAGACGCAACAGACAAAGAACCCGACCGAATGGTTAACCGAATGGGCTCCCGAGGCAAGAGAAGTGTATTGGCCAAATCTAGCCATGCCTTACGTATCTCTCACGGTAAGGAGACTTGTAATGCACGTCGCCTTCTTCTTCCTCACTTTCTTCTTCATCATCCCAATCGCATTTGTGCAATCTCTAGCGAGCATTGAAGGTATTCAGAAAACAGCTCCGTTCTTGAATACCATCATCGAAAAGTAGGTACATTTATCGAGGTTCTTGCTTACTATTCCGATCGAGAATATGCTTTGATTCAAACCTTGCGTGTGCAGGAAGTTTATCAAATCGCTGATCCAAGGTTTTCTTCCCGGTATTGTTCTGAAGATCTTCTTGATATTTCTGCCAACAATCTTGATGATCATGTCGAAATTCGAAGGGTTTGTTTCGATATCATCGTTAGAGAGAAGAGCGGCTTTCCGATATTATATATTCAACCTCGTGAATGTTTTCCTCGGTAGCATCATCACAGGATCTGCATTTGAACAGCTCGATTCTTTCCTCAAACAATCAGCGGATCAGTAATCTTCCTCCATATATTCCTCGTGCTTTTTTACTATTTTGAAAAACTCTGTTCTCAGCTTTTTTTTTTACATTCTTGTTTTTAGGATCCCTAAGACGGTTGGAGTAGCGATACCGATAAAAGCAACGTTTTTCATAACGTATATAATGGTGGATGGTTGGGCTGGTGTGGCTGGAGAGATTCTTAGGCTGAAACCGTTTATCATTTTCCATTTGAAGAATTTCTTCTTGGTGAAAACTGAAAAGGATAGAGAAGAAGCTATGGATCCTGGACAGATTGATTTCTATGCAACAGAGCCTAGGATTCAACTCTACTTCCTCCTCGGCCTTGTCTATGCTCCGGTCACTCCTGTTCTACTTCCTTTCATCATCTTCTTCTTCGGTTTCGCTTACCTTATCTTTCGCCATCAGGTAAAACATATCTTGTTCCACACGTTACCTATCTATAATTGTTTCTTGTTTTTTGGGTAATCTAAAGAGTGAAAAAAAAGTACTAAAATGAAGATAGATTCGGTTTGGTTTATCCGGAATGTAGATATCGAATTTCAAGAATCTTGGAGCCAAATGGATTAGAAACCATGATTGATTACATTTGGTGTTCTTGGTTATTAGCTAAACCGGGTTTCTTTGCAGATCATAAATGTGTACAATCAGGAGTATGAGAGTGCGGCTGCGTACTGGCCAGACGTTCATGGACGTATAATATCGGCATTGATCATCTCGCAGATCCTTTTGATTGGATTAATGAGCTCGAAAGGAAAAGCTCAGTCCACGCCTTTCCTCGTCGTTCTACCGATTCTAACCATTGGTTTTCACCGGTTTTGCAAAGGCCGGTATGAATCGGCATTCGTCATTAACCCTTTGCAGGTTAGTATGTTTAACCGGTGGTAGGTTTAGCTGATTGATTTAAACTAAACTAATTTTGGTCCGGTTCGATGTTTTGTTTAATCTTGTCTGTACCGGTTTATAGGAAGCTATGATCAAGGATACATTGGAACGAGCAAAAGAACCGAACTTGAATTTGAAAGTGTTTCTTCAAAACGCATACATTCATCCGGTTTTCAAAGACGAAGAATATGAGGATGACCGGTTCGAGGAATCAACCGAGGATTCGGATAATGAAAATTGTGTAGTTGTACAGACCAAACGTCGGTCACGGAGAACCACCGAGGCGAGCAACAATGCTATTGGTGGCTCGCCTTCTAATCGACCAGATACGGGTAAGGGAAAACCGGAGCCTTAATGGTCAATGACTAAATCACTAAACCGGTTTGGTTTGAATTCGGTGTAGAAGAAACGGAACTAAATGCGTGAGAGGATCTTTTTGTTTTGACGTGTTATGGAATGTTTTGTATATTTGTATGCTTGTCATTGTTTTTTTTTTCTTTTTTTGGTCATTATTCCAATACATGATTGTGTAAAAATAATTTCGACCATTTTGTAAAATCATCCTGACATAATGCATCGTACTGGAGTACGCATGTATGACTTAGTCGCCTCCTTGGTTTTGGTCAAGAGTCAAGACTTATAAAGTTATAATGTATCGTAGTAGCTAGACGTAAGCATGGATTGACCGGTCACTAAAATCCTTGGTTTGGTCAAGAGTCAAGAGTTAAGAGTACCTATTGTGTGTTTAAGCGTCAGTGATATCCATGACAAAAAGATATACTCCTTCCGTTTCACAAAAAATGTTATTCTAATATTTTTCACACAGAAAATTATTAAAAATATAACTTTGTCCCTTATTAATACATTAAATGATTTATTTTTATCTAGTAAATATATTAAATTAATAGGGTTAAAACTGGAATATTGTTTAAAATTTTGCATTGAAAATATAAAACGACATTCTTTGTGAAACAAAAATAAAACCTTAAAACGACACTTTTTGTGAAACGGAGGGAGTATCGTACTAACATCACAAAAAATCTAGAATGTAATTGTTTCATCTGTTCAATTTAATAACATTTAAATTGTTATTTAGAACTCAATTATATCGTAGTAAGGTAAGAAAACAAAAATCTTCAAAAACTAATTACATTAAATCACAAATAGAAAACAAAACACGGTTTTAGTACTTAAATCACAATTCAGATAGGAATCTAGGATATTAAAACGATAAACATGCCAATAAATATGATTAAATAAAATGAAATCCCAAGATATAATAAATAATGCTTTTAAATGCGGATTTAGTTAAAAACCGGGTTAGAACCGTTTTATCATCAGAAGATCTTGGATTGAGAAAATCAGATATGAAAACAAATCAATAACGAATCTAAGATATTAAAACGATAAACATGCCAATAAATATTAGTTAATAAAAATAAATCCCAAGATACAATTAATAATGCTCTATAAATGCAAAGAAATCCGCAAGGACTAAAACTAATAAACTATTGACTAGAACTAGAATAGAAGTAAATCCAGAAAAATAAGTAACTGTTATAACACATATTATATATGGACTCTTATACCGGCCCACTGGGCCCATCAGGGCATTGTACTTAACCTAGATTCCCTATGTACTCTATATATACATTCCAGTGATTAATAAAGTATCTAAGTTTTCACAACACGTTATCAGCACGATAAGACTCTCTGAGCGAAAAACCCTAATAAATCCGGCCACCACCAAAACCCTAAAAGCAAGTCGAAACTTAAAAGACGCATATCTTCCAAACCGTGAGGAACCCGAAGACGATCTATATATCAAATCGAAGCCCTCGACGAGACGAATCTACTGGTGAAAACCGTTTGTCGACCCAACGTCGGACGCGCCCTCATGCACACTTACAGTATACGACGATCAACCGAAAAAAAAAAGAAAAAAAAAAACCAGATCCGAGTTTTTCCTTCTTCAACCAGCAGCTTCTCCAGTTTTGGTGATCAATCCTTGGAATTTGTAGCGGCTAACTGAGGTCTATTAGCTCCCAGTTTCATTAGCCTGTCAGAAATCCAAAGGTGGAAAAGGTATCTTCTAAAACTGAGAGCCATAGAACCTGTTGTTTAAACACTTCAAAACCCTAAAAATAAAAATAAAAAATAAAAAAAATAAAAAATAAAAAAAAAAATCGATCTATAATTGATTGAAAGTGTTTGATACTCTGATGATTGATTGATAACTTGTTGATTGATTGTTTAAATTACAAGTTTATGCATGTTCAAAGGTTTTAAACTCGTTTTATAAAACCCTAATCTACAAAAACCTAACAACCGTTTTTGGCCATGTTTATGGTATAAACCTATTCGATTTTCATCATGTTTAATAAGCTTGTTGCAGCTTATTTGATTGTTGATTCTCTTGCTTGAAACACTTGATTGAATAAACTAAGAAAATCAACCCTAAATCCTAAGCTTGATTCACGATTTTGTAATCTTCAAAATCGTAAGTCATAATGCTTAAACCATAGTTCTTTTCACGTGATTTCTTTGTTGTCCTTGTGAAATTATTAAAACCATCGACCACAGATCCTATAGATCTCGAAATCACATCCAAAATATGTTTTCCAAACCGTTAAAACCCTAGATAAAACCCTAATCATATTCGGCTCCCCTAGGGTTCCTCCTAAACCGCCTAAAACCGGCTAAACCTGGTTCTCATTAACCGAAATTATATTCGGCTTTAACCGATTAAATCACAGCTATTAAACCGACATCATGTTCGGGGTAACTAAAACCATACCCTTTAAAATTTACTATTTCCGAGAATGTTCCCTCTAATAGAAAGTTTCCTCATATAAAACTTTCCTCATATAGAAATTTTCCCGACATAGAAACTTTCCTCATTTAGAAAATTACCCAAATTAGAAACTTTCCAAATTTAGAAACTTTCCAAATTTAGAAACTTTCCTAAAATAGAAATATTCTCAAAATAGAAAGTTTCATCATCAGCATTCAAAATTTTCTCAAAACAATCCCTAACAAAATCAATCTCATGTTTCAGATGTCAAACATTCAGAAATGTGAATTCGAGGTCCTTCACGTCTCCGGGGATAACTACCTCGAGTGGGCCCTAGACATGCGCTTGTTCCTTGCATCGAAAGAACTCGATGCGTGTATTACCGACGGTAACACCGCATCCCGTAAGGGACAGTCTCAGGCGATATGCCACATACGCCATCATCTGGCCCCGAGCCTTAAGCAGCAATATCTCACTCTTGAGAATCCACTTGAATTGTGGCAAGCGCTGAAAAAGCGATATGACCATCAGAAAATGGTCCAGTTGCCTCAGGCAGATTTCGACTGGAAGAACCTTCGGTTCCAGGACTACAAATCCGTAGATGATTACAACAACGAACTCTTTCGTATTGTTGCCATCCAGAAACTCTGTGGCGAGGATGTGACAGATAATGATCTCCTCGAGAAAACATTATCCACATTCAGCACAGAGAATGTTGTGCTCCAACAACAATACCGTGCAATGAAACACACATTGTACGAAGACTTGTTGTCCTGTCTTCTCCTCGCTGAGAAGAATAACCAGCTGCTTATGAGGAACAGCGCTATGAGGCCCCCGGGATCGGCTCCTGTCCCAGCTTCTCGTCAAGAGTCCTACCATGTTCAACCCGATAGATCCTCAGATCACCGCCGTGGACGTGGTAATGGACGTGGTAATGGCCGAGGACATGGACGTGGAAGACGTGGACGCGGACACGGTCGTGGCAACCGACCTAACCTCAGTTATGGTCCTGGTCGTGGTCGAGGCATCACCAAGCGGACCCGCTACACCAACCCCGATCACTCTGCTTGTACCAGATGTGGGATGTTCAACCACCCAACAAAGCAATGTCGCACCCCCAAGATCCACTGCGATCTATACCAGAAGTACGGAAAAGCTCCTGCTGAAGCCAACATGACTCAGCCAGTCGATGCTGCTAACCTGGAAGGTGACGACCTCCTTGATGATGAGAACACCACAAACGAGCAGACCGACCCCATGGACTATGAAACAGCTGATCTCCTCGATTAATTCAATCATCTGAAACTCTGATACAATTTGATTTTGTTCTTTATTTTTTTTTCATTTTGGGATTTGTTTCATTTTTTTTCCATTTGCCTTTATTCTCAGACACTGCTTTACTTTATGATTTATCACATTTTCTGAATTCCTCAATACTGAATTCTATCTTCTATTCATAATAAAGCACACCAGCAAATGGAAACCATAGTCGTAGATAGTGGATCCAGCCACACTATCTTAAGAAACAAAAGTTACTTCATAAACCTAACCTATCAAACCGCAAATATTAGCACCATCGCGGGTCCCTCACACCTTATCGAAGGATATGGCCATGCCTATGTGTTGCTATCAAATGGCACACAACTTGAAATACCAGATGCTCTATATTCTCCTAGTTCGAAGAGAAATCTTCTGAGCTTCAAGGATATAAGACAGAATGGTTTCCACATAGAAACCCAAGGTCAAGGGAACAAAGAATCTCTCCTAGTCACTAAAACCGTAGACGGCCATAAACAAATCCTCGAAACCATACCCGCGCTCTCTACTGGACTTTACCATGCTAAAGTCAGTATGATTGAAGCTAATACCACTCTCAAAGCCCGGTTTACTGATTATACTATTTGGCACGACCGGCTCGGTCATCCCGGTGCAAATATGATGCGTAAACTAATTCAAAACTCTCAAGGGCATACCCTCAAAGAAAACCGAGCTTATCCTCAACATCTCATGTGCACAGCTTGTTCTCAAGGCAAATTGATCACTCGGCCTTCACCAGTTAAAATCTCTAAACAAACACTTCATTTCCTAGAAAGAATCCAGGGCGATATCTGTGGACCTATACATCCATCTTCCGGACCATTCCGGTACTTCATGGTCCTTATAGACGCATCGACCCGTTGGTCATATGTTTGTCTCTTGTCCTCTCGGAACCAAGCCTTCGCTAGGTTCTTGGCCCAAATCATCAAATTGCGGGCCCATTTCCCTGACTTCCCACTAAAGACTATCCGCCTTGACAATGCTGGTGAATTTACCTCACAAGCGTTTAATGACTACTGTATGGCCATGGGGGTAACCGTGGAACATCCTGTAGCACATGTCCATACTCAAAATGGATTGGCTGAATCATTCATTAAACGCATTCAATGGATAACCCGACCATTACTCATGAGATCAAAGCTCCCGGCCTCAGCATGGGGACATGCAGTATTACATGCTGCTGAACTCATACGCATCCGGCCATCTAGTGAACACAAATATTCCCCATCCCAACTACTCTCGGGTCATGAGCCAGACATCTCCCATCTCAAAACATTTGGGTGTTCAGTATATATACCTATTGCTCCACCACATCGAACCAAAATGGGACCTCAAAGAAGGATGGGAATATATGTTGGTTTTGACTCTCCCACCATCATAAGATATCTCGAGCCAACCACTGGAGATCTCTTCAAGGCCAGATATGCGGATTGCCAATTCGATGAATCGGTATATCCCTCTTTAGGTGGTGAGACAAACAAGCTGGTCAAAGATCTTTCATGGAATCAAACATCATTAAATTGGCAAGATCCTCGGACTCTAGAATGTGATTCAGAGATCCAAAAGATTATTCATTATCAAAAGCTAGCTAATCAATTGCCAGATTCCTTTGCTGACCCGACCAAAGTAACCAAATCGTACATCCCAGCTTGTAATGCACCAGTACGAATAGCTGTCCCAACGGGACAGACCCAAGTTGCTACAGAGTCTACACCACGTCTCAAACGGGGCAGACCTCTCGGTTCCAAAGATAAGAATCCCCGGAAATCAAAGAAAAGTGCAATAACCGAAACCAGGATTCCTGCAATATCAGACATAGCCGCGGCTGAGACTCAATCTAATGAACCCTCAATGGAAGTTCGGGACGCCGAATCTCCAGGTTCAGAAGATAACAATGAGATCTCCATCAATTACAATATGTCCGGAATACAATGGAATCGAAAAGAAGTCGACTTAAATGCACTCTTTGCATACAAAGTAGCACTTGATGTTGCGCTCACGCAAGAGGATCTAGAACCCACGTCAATAACACAGTGTACACATCGAACAGATTGGCTAAAATGGAAAGAAGCCATAAACGTGGAATTAAAGAGTCTCAAACTCAGAAACGTGTTCAGTCCGATCATCCGGACCCCATCACACATCAAGCCAGTGGGCCACAAATGGGTCTTTGTGCGCAAAAGGAACGAACTCGGTGAAGTCGTTCGATACAAAGCACGGCTTGTAGCACAAGGATTCTCACAGAGACCCGGAATCGATTATGAGGAGACTTATTCTCCAGTGGTGGATGCAACAACATTCCGATTCCTCATAAGTCTGGCCATAAGAGAAAATCTTGATCTGCGGTTAATGGATGTTGTAACCGCATATCTCTATGGGCCCCTGGACAACGAAATATATATGAGACTCCCAGATGGCATTGAACTAAAAGACAAAAATGCATCTCGAGATCAATACTGCATCAGGCTGAACAAATCCTTGTATGGACTGAAACAAAGTGGGCGTATGTGGTACAACCGCCTCAGCGATTACCTCATCAAAGAAGGCTACAAAATGACCCCATCAGTCCATGCATCTTCATCAAGAAGTACTCAAACAAAGGATTTGTAATCATAGCAGTATACGTGGATGATCTAAACATCCTCGGAACATCTGGTGAGATCTCCCAAACAGTCGACTGCTTAAAAGCAGAATTCGAAATGAAAGACCTAGGCAAAACAAAGTACTGTTTGGGATTACAACTTGAGTACATCAAAGGAGGAATCCTTGTGCATCAATCGGCTTATATCGAAAAGGTACTCAAGCGATTTAATATGGACCAAGCTCACCCATTGACCAGCCCAATGGTAGTTAGAAGCTTAAGTGATGACCCTCTTGGTCCCAAAAAGGATGATGAAGAAATCCTTGGTCCTGAAAAGCCATACCTCAGTGCTGTAGGAGCGTTAATGTACCTGGCTAGTCACACTAGACCAGACATATGTTTCGCCGTGAACCTCCTCGCTCGATATAGTTCATCTCCAACTCAGAGGCACTGGAACGGTATAAAACATCTCCTAAGATACCTTCGAAGTACTCAAGACTTAGGACTCTTCTATATTAACCAAAATAAAGATGGGTTAGTCGGCTTCGCCGATGCAGGATATCTATCAGATCCGCACACTGCCAAGTCTCAAACTGGCTACGTTTTTACGCATGGAGGAACAGCCATCTCTTGGAGATCAATGAAGCAGACACTCACTGCCACTTCATCAAACCATGCTGAAATCCTAGCCATTCATGAGGCTAGTAGGGAATGCGTCTGGCTGCGCTCCATGACTCAGCACATCCGCAGAGATTGTGGTATGGACGAAGACACACAGCCCACGGTGATGTATGAAGACAACGCGGCATGCATAGCTCAGCTTAAGGAAGGATATATCAAAGGAGATCGGACGAAGCACATTCTACCGAAGTTCTTCTCAACCTCAGACTGGCAGAAGGACGGCACTCTCAGCGTTCAGCAGGTCCGATCCAGTGAGAATTCAGCTGACCTCTTCACCAAATCATTGCTTACTTCAACACACCGGAAGCTCGTCAAACAGATAGGAATGTATAGACTTAGAGATCTGCAGTGATGCTACAATCTGGGGGAGTAATGCGTGTTGTACTCTTTTTCCTTTACCATGGTTTTGTCCCACTGGGTTTTTCCTGGTAAGGTTTTAATGAGGCAACATTCCCCAGCGCATTATCGAGATCCCGATTGAATAGCTGGCCTGGTTCACTCGTCCAAGGGGGAGTGTTATAACACATATCATATATGGACTCTTATACCGGCCCACTGGGTCCATCAGGGCATTGTACTTAACCTAGATTCCCTATGTACTCTATATATACATTCCAGTGATTAATAAAGTATCTAAGTTTTCACAACCGTAATTACTAATGAGTAAATGCATTTAAATTGTTAAAAAAAAATCTCTTTTTACTCCGCAAGGACTAAAATCATTGACTAGAGTATTTATTTTCTTTCTCTTTGCTATTTACTGATGATTTATAACCTTATTATTTTTAACACCAAAAAAAAGGTTGATTTTTAATCTCATTCCGACAGATGTCATAATCGGTCGGGGTATTTGCCACGTGTATCTTCAGTAGCTTGCGTTTCACGGAGTAATCTGTGGGCCCTAGGAGTAGAGTTACTGTGCTTTAACGGTGAGATTAACAGCGATGCTTTTTTTTCGTGTCCTTCTGGTAAATTTCACGGAAAAGGAAAAGTAAAAAAAAAAGAAAAATTTCCTGATTATTTAAATATCGAGAATTTGAGAATCCTTGGGTTAGTAGTTCCACCCAAACAGAAAAAAAAAGGAAAAGAATCCTGGCGTTTTCTCTGAATTGTTGTTTCTAAGTCTTTTTCAACGAATTTTCTAGGCGTGAATCTAGGGTTAGATCGATCCTTTCGCAGGAGAATCATTGTTTGCTTCGAAACTGTTTTTGGTGTTCATCGAAAGGTAAAATTAGTCTCTATTCCTCTCTCCGATTCCAAATTCTCGTTGCAAATTGTTGTTTGATTCAATTTTGATGTATCGATGCGTATATCTTCGTTGTATCTTCGAATCGATTGGTTTTAACATTGTCGTTTCCGATTTTTATCTGCTTTTGATTTGAGTCGATAGATTTCTCTGTTTTATTGCGATTGTGATTATCAATGAAGAAGTCGATTTTTGTTTGTTCTGGGCTTAAATTCATACACGATTCGTTCATGAAGAAGCTTTGTGTGTTTTCTGATACTATAATTTGGGGAAATCTCTTGGAAAAGCAAAAACCTTCTGATTTTTTTTTTCGGATGGCGATTTTTTTCTGGGTTAATTTTGCTACTTAATATCTTCGTTAAGCTACTAATTAATGCTGATAAAGTAATTTACAGATTTCATGTTCTTCTGGCATCGTTTTTCGTTTGTTTTTTTGCAGTTAAAATGGACTCTGTAGTTTCGGGTGGAGTTAGGCTCGAGCATTGTTGGCTAATGGAGAGTCCTCTAATTTCCTTTCGATATTCTTGGTCGACGAGGAAGAAGAGAACTCCGAAACCATTTAAGTTGAAAGAAGGAGGCTCGAGGTCACGTCCTGTAATATTGAAAGTCTTTGTTAGGAAACGGAAGCTTTCGAGAGATGATAACGACGACTCAGCGGTTAAGCGTAACCCGAAAAGAAGGAGAGCTTGTAGCAAAGTAGAAAGCTGTGATGAAGTTGAAGCTGTTCCTAAGGAGGAAACATCTGTTAAGGAAGAGCAAGTTTCTGAAGATGATGATGATTGTATCTTAGGAGATTATATTCGAAGCTTCACTATGAGAAAGAGAGAAGATAAGCGCAAAGAAGTACCAGAAGTGAAATCTGAGATTAAAGATGAAGAATGCTCTGTAGAAGCGAATCGGATTGCTAAAAGGAAATACAAACGCAAAGTAAAAGTTGAAGAGGATATGGATTGGGAAGAAGAGGTTAAGTTGGTTTCTAAGATCAAGGAAACATCAAGAAGGAAGAGCAGAAGAATAGGTTGTGCAGCTAATGGAAGAAGTTCCAAAAGTCCAGAAAATGTCACAGGTGTTAGTCGTTCTCGCTCACGTTCGCCAACTTCAGAAGTATCAGACTCCCTTCTGAAAAATGGGAGTTCTGATGACTGCACAAGCATGACAAATACTTCTAAGGTAACATATCTTTTCATAAGCCCTTGAATCCGATCAAGGATGATATAGAATTTACCAAAATAATATTCTTGTCTTGGCAGGAATCTAAGGAACGCCATGTAATTTGCCATCAGTGCTTAAAAGCGGAAAGGATAACTCTTGTCATTTGCAGTGAATGTGAAGAGAAAATGTATTGTCTTCAGTGTATAAGGAAATGGTTAGTATCTGTGTCAACTCTAATGTATTCCTTTGTTTTGTCATAAAAGGCATTTCGATATGCTTACTCTATCTGTGGTTTGTTGCAGGTATCCAAATCTATCTGAGGATGATATCGTTGATAAATGTCCTTTCTGCCGCAAAAATTGTAACTGCAGCAGATGCTTGCATTCGAATAGTTTAATCGAGGTATGGGATTATTTCCAGCCAGAAGATTTCGTTTTTAAGAGAATGGTTTTTTTTGTTAAATGGTATATGTGCGTTTGTCTTAACAGATTTCGAAGAGGGAACTGGCAGATCCTGAAAGACGCCGTCATCTCCAGTACTTGATTTCGCAGACGCTTCCGTTTCTGAATAAGTTCTCCAAATCCCAGAACCAAGAGATTGAAATTGAAGCAAAGGTTCAAGGTAGGAATCTTACGCTACTAAGACTTGGCTTCTGTTGCTAGAAGTGATTTTCCTGCTAACATATGATTGTTTCTGTAGGATTACTGCCTTCTGAAGTTGATGTAGCTAGGGCAGAAAGCTACTATGATGAACGCGTATACTGGTAAGCACTCTAATAGAGAGTTAGGATATTTTAATTCAACTTGATTCTCCGGGACCTTACTGAAAACATCTTTGTTGCAGTGATCACTGTGCAACTTCAATTGTTGACATGCACCGAAGCTGCCCAAAGTGCTCTTATGAGCTTTGTTTGAACTGCTGTCAAGAGATCCGAGAAGGATCGCTCTCCGAACGCCCTGAAATGAAGCTACCATATGTTGATAAAGGATATAGGTATATGCATGGTTTAGATATGGAACCGAGCTCCTCTTCTGTTTCTGAGGAGGAAGTAGCTAACCTATCCGCTAAGTGGAATGTCGGTTTTAACGGAAGCATCACCTGTGCACCAAAAGAGCTAGGTGGTTGTGGTGATAGTATGTTGGAGCTTAAGCGAATCCTACCCGAAAACTTTTTGGCACGCTTGGAACAGAAGGCAGAGACTTTCTTGGCATCATACAAGAAAAGCCCTGGAGTGTTGAACTGTAGGTGTTCTGCCTTGGAGACAGATATGACAAGGAAAGCAGCTTCGAGGACAAGCTCAAGCGATAACTACCTGTTCTGCCCTGAATCTCGTGGTGTTTTGAAGGAAGAAGAGCTTCTACATTTTCAAGAGCATTGGGCAAAAGGTGAACCAGTAATTGTCAGGAACGCTCTTGATAACACACCTGGTTTAAGCTGGGAGCCGATGGTGATGTGGCGAGCTTTATGCGAAAATGTGGTTTCATCAACAGCAAATACTAAGATGTCTGAAGTCAAAGCAATTGATTGTTTAGCTAACTGTGAGGTATACAATTCATTCCGTAATATATTTTAGATTCTGAAATTCTTGATAGGTTCTAATCTCCATACCAATTCAGGTGGAGATCAATACTCGTCACTTCTTTGAAGGTTATAGCAAAGGAAGAACATATGAAAACTTCTGGCCTGAGATGTTGAAGCTGAAAGACTGGCCTCCTTCTGATAAGTTTGAAGACCTTTTACCTCGTCACTGTGACGAGTTCATATCCGCATTACCTTTCCAAGAATACAGCGATCCTAGAACAGGAATTCTTAACATTGCAGCAAAGCTTCCTGAAGGGCTAATCAAACCAGATTTGGGTCCAAAGACTTACATTGCCTATGGGATTCCAGATGAGTTAGGGAGAGGCGATTCCGTGACTAAGCTTCACTGCGATATGTCAGACGCGGTAAAAAGCTTTAACTACTTTGTTTTTACACCCTTGGTTTTGTTTTTCTGGTCCAGAGACTCACTTTGCAATTCATGTAGGTTAATATTCTGACGCATACAGCTGAAGTAACGTTAAGTCAAGAACAGATATCTGCAGTCAGAGATCTAAAACAAAAACACAAGGAACAGAACAAGTTTGAAAAACAGGGCAGTGAAGATAGCGTTAATGGCTGTAGCCAAGAGGAAGAAGAGTTGAACATGCCAGAGATTCTGAGCTGTGAAAATGAGCAGAATCCTGAGGAAATGGGAAGTGCTCTTTGGGATATATTTAGAAGAGAAGATGTTCCTAAGTTAGAAGAGTATCTAAGAAAGCATTGCAAAGAGTTTAGACACACTTTTTGTTGTCCAGTTTCAAAGGTAATAACACCCACCTGCAAACACAACCTTTGAAGAATCTCTTTTCCGGATACTGACGTTTAAAAAACATTTCCTTTTTCAGGTTTATCATCCGATACATGACCAATCATGCTATTTAACGGCGGAACATAAAAGAAAACTCAAGGCGGAATTCGGTATGTAACCGAACAACCATATTTGCATTGCTCTTTTTCGACCTTATATGAACAAAACTAAAATGTTTTGTCTAAAATTGTAGGGATCGAACCATGGACATTTGTGCAAAAGCTAGGAGAAGCGGTGTTTATTCCCGCGGGTTGTCCTCATCAAGTTCGGAATCTAAAGGTAAACACAACTTGCTTTGGAGTTGAAAATCTAATGAAAACTCGTCTTTATTTTATCGTATTTTTGATGTTCTTAATTTTGGAACAGTCGTGCACAAAAGTGGCAGTTGACTTTGTATCACCAGAGAACATTCATGAGTGTCTGCGTCTGACTGAAGAGTTTCGCCAACTTCCCAAAAACCACAGGGCCAGAGAGGACAAACTTGAGGTAAGTCTTTTATCTCTTTACCATTTATTTTTCCTTTTTCTCGTTTGTTGTGTGTGTGAGCTTATTGCGTATATGTATGGTATGGTTGATGCGGGTGGGGTTGAGTTGGATAATATTCTTGGATAACCGGATCCAATTAGGAGGGATGGGCATTTAAACCGAACCAAACCAAAACCAAAACAAATCCGATTTACTCGAATCAAATTTTTTGATTCTACTTTTTTAGAATTGGATCGGTTCTAGAAAACCCAAAATCAAATGAGCGAACTGCCACATCTTTTAAAAATAAACTAGATGATTACCTGTGCAAATGCACGGAGTCTTTTTAATGTTTTTTAAAATATTTTTAAGCTTTTTTGTAACTTTAAATAAACTCAATTCAGGATTTTTTTTTTAAGGTTATCATATACATATAATAAAAAAGTTGTTATTTAGTTCTTTTAAAAGTAATTTTTTATCAGTTTATTTTTAGTTATTATTTTCTTCAAAGAAGCTAATCAAACACATATTATACTAAACAAAATCTAGAGTTGATAATCCAACAAATACTAAGTATAAAATATCAACTTATGGTTATAAACTCAAGAGGCATATCTTATAAATAAATAGATAAATTTATTCGGATTTTCCTATTTTAATTGGTAAAATATTTCATAAACTCTTCTGAAATCAAAAATGAATATAATGGAGTTCTAACTAATATCCCAAATTGTATTAAACCCATGACCATTTTTCTTCACCAAGTTTTTAGTATGAAATCACTATAGATCTTACGTTGGAGATAGTCTTCTATGCTAAATCTTTCACTTGAATTTAATCGCTACCTTTAATATTCGTTAACTAAAACGAATTTAAAAACTATCAGCCCAAATTTTCTCAAAGTGACGTCTTATGGTTTCATAGTTCCATATGCTAAATCTTAAGAACACTTGCATGCTTGAAAATATTACCGAGGCTTTGGTCACACAATTTCATCCTCTTAACATCTGTTTTACTTTTTGGGATATTTTACATAGAAGTAGAAAACTTTGGTACAGAAAATTGGCATATAAACCCAAATCTACAACTTTAGGCAAAGAAACATATAAAAAATTGAAAACAAACTAAAAATCCAAATCCTACAATTATGAAATTCGTCTGAAAAGACTATAGAAATGAAAAAATAATTTAAAAATCCAAACTCTACAGTTATGGGATTTTTATTTTATTTAAATTTCTTTCCAAAATAGTTACTTACTTCCGTAATTTTAGTTGTATTATTTTGAATTTTTAAAGTTAATAAGATTTATTATTCCCTTCATTTGGTTACAAATTTTAGTTTTTATGTCTAAAGTTGCGAAGTTTTATGCATAAGAGAAACGTATTGGTAAATTTTACAAGTACTTTTGAATAATTTGTTGCATCAGAGAAATACGATTTTTTACAAAACAAAAATTCCTTAGTCATCATTAGTTATTACAACTAAAAATATTTTTTTCTCTAAATATGTTGTATTCATTTTCTTGACTCCTTTTAAAGGGATATTATTTAGACTTTTGAGCATACAAATAAGTTTGATTACAACAGAACAAGAATTTGTCAAAATTTAAAATCTGAAGGCAACATACAAACTAAAAAGATTTGTAATCCAAATGCAGGCTATAAACAAAGAGATTATCATTGACTTCCTGATATTCATTAAGCTTTTCAGAGATTATGTAGTTGATCTTTTTTTGTTTTTTCAAATTACATTTGATTTTTTGTTGGATTATATCTTCATCAATAATCAATAGAATAAAAATAAATAATGGTTTATTCTCTCTCACTAAAATCAAAGCAGAAGAATTTTAACCCAATAAAAAATAAAAAAGTTCAGAAGTTTATTGTTTCTAAGGGTTTTTTATATTGTATTTAATGATTTAGGACTTTTGTGTTTTCTAAACAAATTAAAAATTAATAAAATAAATTATAAATTATTTTGTAAATCTGATGTGTCAAAATAATAGATGCTGATGTCTCAAGATTATGAGACACAACCCAACTTTTATATAATAGATTTATATTTTATAAATAGACTTTAAGTATTTTATCAATACGTATTATTTCCTTCCTCCCCCGAGGAAAATAGAAATTATTTTCCAAAACAAACAGAAAACAAATGCCCATCTCTAACGATTGGTTATCATAAATTTTGAATAACCTAATCTTATTTAGGCTGGCTTTGTTTGTTTGCTTGGTTGTTTGCTGTTACGTTTTCCGATAGATCACACCATCTAACGTCTAAACAAAATTATTTTGTAAAATGCAAATGCTGTTAGTTTGTTGTTTACGTTTTACAAAACTTATTTTAAAGTATATAATAATTTGTTTATTTAAAATATCGATTTTTTAAAAGTTTTTTTCTCGTGTAAACGTGAGCACATAAATTTGAAAAGTGAAGCTTTTTGCGAAATAGAGCTTCCTATGAGCTTTATTGTCATCGGCCTCAAAAGGAAAATTACAAGGACATGAGTTTTGGATGCACCTCGACTTAGGTTCGAGAGGATATTTTCGAGAAGTGTTCAATCTGGATAGACTTGACCGATTTACCCGAAGCTTGAGTTTTTTCCTTTTTTTTTTTGTATTTTAAAAAATCCCCATTTTTGTTGACAAAAAAAAAATCCCCATTTTATTCAACCCAAATCTATATTGAGTACCTCGCGAAACCAAATAGTATTCAGTCGTTGATACCTTTTGTCCAACTAGAATGTCTTTCTAAAGCCTACGGTAAAACTTAGTTACACTAAAAGGATACTTAAAAGTCATTAGATAGAATCACAAAAAGACTTCAGATTGACTATCCCACATAGCTCGACCCTCGGCACTAACATAGTTCAGATAGTAATGGTAAGATTATGATTTGATATGACTTCATTACATGTTTATATGAGCGTAGGCTGTTTGATGATTTATTGTGTTGTTAATGACTAGATTCACAGGATTTTTTAAAATTTTAAAACGATAGATTTTGAACCTCAAAGAGTTGTAGATGCTGTAAATGATGATAACTATCAAGGGTTGTTTGATGGGTCAGAAATGGTAGGACCATCTTAATTTCCTAAAAGAACTATATGTTAAACCCCTTTGCTATGGCGGGGTGGGCTTGTACATAGTAATCATGGACCGCGGTTCTAGGTTCTGATGAGGCAGGCCAAATGGGCGCCCGAAAAATATGTCCACGACGGGGCGGACCAGATGGCCATGGGCTGAAAAAAATGTATGGCCATGGGCTGAAAAAGAATGTCCACGATGGGGTGGTCTAGATGGGCGTGGGCTGAAAAAAATGTCTACGAGAGGGCGGTCCAGATGGGAACAGACTGACCTGGAGCAGCCTGAAAAAATAGTCCACGATAGGGCGGGCGAGATGAGTGTGGGCTGACCTGGTGTGGCTTGGAAAAATGTCCACGACGGGGCAGGCCAGATGGGCACAAGTTGACATGGTGCAGTTTGAAAAAAATGTCCACGACGAGGCGGGGTGAATGGGCGTTGGTGACCCTTTTGGCACCTTTATGAACATCCATAATTTTGACTCAACAAGAAAGAAGGTCCCATATATGGGTTGTAAGTAAGTTTTTGTTTTTATAATAAAAACATCGGGTTCGGGTTGCAGAATTTTTGCAACGTGAACCCTTTGTTAATACTAAAAACATGGAGTTAGCAAAAAGCGATTTGCTTTTACATGAGATGCAAGTTTCGGTTGTCAGGACACCTTTGTCACCATGCTGAATAAAGATTCAAGTTTGAGTTTAATGTGCCCTCGTTCTTGGGCATCGTCTTGCGTGCAAATTAATAAGGTTCCCAAGGTGAGGTGGGGGTGGTGGGTTTTCAATTGGTATCCACCAAATTATAAAAAACAGTGGATAGAATTGTCCGTTGTAGAATTGTCGTAGAATCGTTCGTGTTTCTGTAAAATCATGTGTTTCTGTAGAATCGTGTTTCTGTAGAATCGTGTTTCTTTAGAATCGTTCGTGTTTCTGTAATTATTCTCATAATTTGTAATAATTAACAATCAAGAAGATAAAAAGGAAACAACTTTATCCAAAATATTGTCGTGGTCAAACGCTAAATATTCCATACGTTCTATGGAGTAGATTAGGTAGAAGCAAAGGTTTGAATTTAGATGGTAACACGTCAACGACAATACGAACAACTAAATTATACGTGTGGTTAACTTTAAGTATTGACTTATTTAAAATTTAATCTGTCTTGATAGTGACCTTCCTTTAATGAGTCTTTCCTGCGACCCTAAATGGCATCTCGCATTACGTGATTACCACAAATAAGAAGAAAGAGATATCTCAGATACTTCTTCCGTTTTAAAATATAAGTTTTTTTCAATTTTCATTATACTGTTTTTTTTTCACAATAATTCAATTTTTGTTTTACCACAAACTAATTAATTAGCTAAAGGAGTAGAGATAAAAGTTATACAAATTATCAAATATTTGCATTTGAAACCGAGATAGAATGACTTATATTCTGAAATACAAAACTACCAATCCTCCAAGAGGGAGTATAGTATATTAAAAAGAGATCTAATATAAAAAAATTATTTTTTAAAAATATACAGTAAAATCTCTATAAATTAATAGTATCAGAATTACAATATGTTATTAATTTATAAAATTATTAATTTATTAATATAAAAATCAATCCAAAAAACTAATTTGAGATTTTAAAAATATATTAATTTATCGAATATTAATTTATAGAAGTTATACTATATGCACGTACAGTAACTGAATTCGATGTCAATTTTTTTCATTATTATATTCGATAAAACATAAATAAAATTTTGAAATATTGGCGAGTATCTTAGGATAATATTCTGCATATTTTTCTTCTGATGATATATTTGAAGCATTCAATTAGTCCTTTTATAATTTTTTCACTGAACTGACTATTTTATGTTTATTTTTGTTTTATTCATGTAAAAGATAAAGAAGATGGTGATCAATGCGATCGAGCAAGCTCTCATAGAACTTGAGACGATACTGGAATAGACTAAGGCTTTGATTGGTAACTTTGCGGAATGGCGGAATTGTGGAAAAAATCTTGCGGAATAGATTAAGCGACTTATAAGTCGCTTTTCTGCGGAATGACTTTTTCTTTGTATTTTTGTTAAGCAAAAACGCAGTCTGCGTTTTTATGTGTATTTTTTCATTACGCAGATTTTTGTTGATTGATAAAAAACCTGTGGAATTGTGTTTAAAAACGCAATTCCGCCATTCCGCAAGTTACCAATTAGAGCCTAAACAGATGCTCTAATGGTTGAAGACTGCTTTTTGGGAAGTATCATCTTTCTTCGGTGTTGCCAATAGTTGCCGTGTAGGATGCTCAGATTCTGTATACATATTAGAAAGAGAAATTAAAGAAAAAATCATGGAGATGTCAAGAGAAGTCACATTTGGCATTTTCTTCTTTGTTGTTGTAATCTTCATGTGATGTTGATGTTTGTCAGATAAGCAAATAGACAATGTTAGTTTATGATTATATAAAATAGTAATCTTTCGGGGAGTAGATATCGGCTTATAAATTTCAAAAGAAAGTTGTCTATATTTTTAAATACAACATGACTTACATATTACAATCCGTGTATTTGTGTGGATGGGTGGCTGAATATCCAAGTCTCGGTTCGCAGAGGTTTCTAGCTTGCAGGAAAAACTTATACCAAGGGTCGGTTCATCTCCGGATTGATCGGATTTGACTTGGACACGTGAGGCAACTAAATTAGTGAGTTGGGCTCGAACCAATGTGTTTGTGACACACAAAACAGTTCCATGTAAAAACTAGAGAAAGGCGACAAATTATGTTGTTAGTTTTGTACATTATTCCGAGTTGCAAATTATCGAACTTAATCACAAGACAAAACATCATTTCATCATTCAAATAAACACTACACTATAAAAGTAAACCCATCTATACCAAATTCAAATCATATGATAGCTAATCAAATTCAAACCTAATAAACTTATAGGGATTAATAGTATACAATTTTTCAGTTTTCACAAATAGTTACTAGACTCTTTACATACCATCACAATAAAAATCACAGAATGATAAAAAAATAAAAACTAAGAAGTAATTTTTAATCTGTCTTCTAAATTCAAGTTTTATAAAAAAAAAATTGTATACTACTAACTTTTTAGGGAAGACCATCTATTTCCCCACGAAAACTATCGTATCTGTCTATATCTCTCCCAAACTATTACCACATTCTATTTCCCCTCGAAAAAAAAGTTCTAGATGTATTTCCACATGAATGTCGGTTTCAGTGGTTTGTGTTCTAACCCCGACACCAAACCGACAAACCCCACACTTAACCGAACAAAACAAGAACTCGATGCAAACCAAAACCCGACCTGTATACGCAAATGTAAACCCGACACGAATAAAACCCAAAATATCCCCAAATATATATTTTCTTCAAATTCTAAGAACCCTAACATTAGATTTAGTAAAATCGATAATTCACATTCTCTCCTTCCTGATATCTACAGTAAATATCTTGTAATCTACTGTAATTATATTGTTTGGAAATTACGGTTTCGCCGTAAATCATGATTTTGTCGTGAACGTAGGTTTTACGATTCTCATATTGTTAGTTGAAATGGCAGATGTATGGAGCCACGAGTAATGTGTCTGGAGGTTCTAGTGGATCAAAATGATGATGATTCTTGTAGTTATTGGATAGTGGCGTTCATAAAACTAGTAGCCTGATTGTTATATGATCATTGTCGTGTTTTTAGATTGTTGTATCTTGTATGTGTGTGTAATGACTTCTTATGGTTTTCGTTCAGTCCAGTGACATGGTTTTGTTTTGTTTATAAGATCTCTTTTGTTTGGTTTATTCTACAATTACTGAATCAAAGACAAGAGTGAAGACATTATAAGTGAATAGGTTCAAAAGTGATTAAAAGTCGATACAAAATAAAAGCGTCATCAAAACATTACCAACATCAATAGATTCAGAGAAAAGGTGAAAGCAAAGCAACGTTCAGACAGCTTCTCCTTGTTGCTTCCTTTACTTTTTGACTTTTTGTAGTTCTTCAAGAATCATTAGATCCAAGAGGTGCCATGGCCTGAGAAGATTCAGCTTGACTGAGGGTGATCTGAGACAAATCATCCTGAGAAGCCTACAAACGAGAGAAACATTAGTTAAACTGAATGAATATTTTGAAGCCATGTGTACAACTCTCAAAACGTAAAACCACAAACCTGTGATTTTTTCTTTTTGTGAAACCTGGAGTTGTGGTCAGCTGTACCACATACACTGCAATGCATAATTCTCTTTTTCTCTTTCTGTTTCTTCTTGGTCGGAGACTCGTGAACCACTTTCTTCCTCTCTTTATCCGCTTTAGTGATTTTCTTCCTCCCTGGTTGTCGCGGCTCAGTTGCAGGAATATGCACATCAGGAGTTTCTGTTGCAGGCCAAAACGGAGCACCTCTCACTGGAACAAGTCCATTGGTGTAGTTTCTCCTCCACATATCTGTGCGGAACCAACGACAGACATAATTTTCGGGCACAAACTTCTTTTGAATAATCACTCCATACGCATGTTCACAGGGAATTCCACAAATCTGAAACTTCATGCAAGTGCAAGTCCGAGCCAACAGATTGACACGGTAAGTACATCCACTGAATCTTGCTTCATAGTCACCATTAGTACTATAATTGACTTTGCAGTCAGAAGCTTTCTTCTTCTCCTTTGCTAGGAATTTAGTTACATACGGAGTACAAATCCCTGAACAAAAGAAACCAATTAATAAAAACAAGAAAGACCGAAACAACAAAATTGAAAACAAACACAACCTAAACCTTTAAAACATACCTTTATGATCACGAGCGACAGCAGATCTCTTAGCAATACGTACCATAGCGAGTCTTCTGATCATTTCTAGCATTGGCACAAAGGCCTTCTCCCTTACTTTTTTTATTGAATTATTGAAAGATTCGGTGGAGTTGTTTTCCACATCTTCACAGTAATTTCCTAACTTGTAGAACGCTCTGCACCAGCTCCTTGGTTTTGTCTTCTGAACGTCATTGAAGACACCAGTGTCATAGCAGCGAATTCTATCCAAGCGTTGCTCAAACTCTGCTTCATTGTAGCTCCAAGACAAGTTCCATATCAATGTCTTTAACTCTTGTTTACTCGCATGATTCTTCTTCACGTTACCATAGATGTGTCTAACACACATTCTGTGTTCAATATTTGGAAGCTCTGTCTTGACAGCTGCAATCAATCCCTGAAAGACAAACACAAACACACCGTAAAACAAGTTATAAATAAAGTGAAACACAAACAAGTAAACTAACACACAAACAAGTAAACTGAAACACACACCTTTTGCCTATCCGAGACCAAGATAAAACCATCACCATCATTCAGACCCAAATCAACCTTTAACTTCTTCAGAAACCATGTCCAGTTTTCTGTATTTTCTGCTTGAACAACACCCATGCTATTGGATAAATACGATTATCTGCATCTCTTCCTAATGCAGATAACAGCTGGCCTTTAATCTTGTGTTTGAGGAATGTGCCATCGACTCCTATCAATGGCTTACATGTCTCTTTCCATGTTCTTCTAAGAGCATCAAAGCAGACATAAAAACTGTTAAATTCCTCTTTACCTTGTTCATTTGTCAAGGTTTCTATCGCAACCGTCGAATTCTCGTTTGAGTGAACTAACTCAGCTGCATAATCTCTTAGACGTGCAAATTGAAGATCATATTCACATTCGATCCACCTCAAAGACTTGGTCCTTGCAAACTGACATTGAGCCCGAGACACACAGATTCCCCATTTCTCCATAATCGTTTCTTCAATCTTCATGGGCATCATATATTCTGGTTCCTCTCTGATTTTATCAACAAACAATCTAGCTATCTGTGGGACTTTTAGCATCTCACACTCTCCATTAGGCACACAACAATGATTATCTACAAAGACCCTAATTTTCCATATGGGATCAGTCGGAAGAGATGATGCGTAGACTTTCCAAGGGCATCCTTCACCTTCATTATCACCACCTACACATTTAAAAGCTATCTTGTCCCTATCATACCTGCGTTGCTTCAGATTTCGGCCTGTTCTCAACGCATAGTCGAGAACACAATCCTTGAAAGCTACACCATTGAAGAACGTCTGACCCATGTACAATCTTCCATACCCACGTCTGATACGGACCGGCTCTGTCGGTGTTTTCTGAGCTTTCCCTCCCTCGTTCTCATTATCGTTCTCTGGATAGACGTCATGGTGAATCGAAGGCTCGTCGACAAATTATGTAACCATCTGCTCGATTTCACCAAAATCTCTGTCGCCTCCTTCTTCATCGAAGTCTTCTTCACGAAAATCACTAAGAGTTAAAACCATTGAACTCGACTACGACTTCAATCTTCTCTAGAATTACGTTTTGATTTCTTGGGTTCTAAGATTTGGGGATTAGTTTTGGGAATTTAAGATTAGGGTCTGGGTTTTGGTCTAAATCATTGGTTTTTTCTGTAATCGGGTTTAAGCCGGGTCTTAAATTCGGTTTATATCAGAATTATCTGGTTAACAATTGTTTACAGAACAATAAACCATCTAAAACCGATATCTATGGGGTTTTAGATTTCCAACTTTTATTTCATGGGGAAATACATCTTGAATTGAATTTTGTTTTCAGGGGGAAATCGATCTTTAAAATTCATTTGGTGGGGAATTAGAATGTGGTAATAGTTGTATGGAGATCCAGACAGATACCATAGTTATTGGGGGGAAATAGATCCAGACAGATTCCAACTTTTTATTATGTATATGTTTTTGATAAAACTTAGAAGTGTGGATCTATAATTTTCTTTAATACCATTATATTCTTTATTACCATAATCTCTTTGAATCAGGATCCAACCTCTTTGTGTTACCACCATGTTAGAAAAATCGACCGCCTAACAGCTGCCGCATAACAGCTGTCGTCTAGGGCTCCGATTTTAAAAAAAATTAACGATTTATTTGAAAAAATTGATGATCAAGAAAATTTTAAATTAAAAATTATATTTACATTTTATTGCAACTATCGAGTAAGAGGATGATAAAGAAGATCGATGGCATAGTGCTTCGCACAATTAGAGAAAAGTTTGAAGATGGATTGCAAGTGTGATTTGCCAGAAGAGAAAACTCATAAATTCTTTTTTGATTTTCATTCTAAACTTTTGCAAACAAAGTGAACCAATTTTTTAAAAGAGTTGTAAAAAGTTTATTTTTTTTATTTGAGTATAATTTAACATTTTATTCAAAAAAAAAATTATAATATCAAACAAAACTCTAAACCTTCTAATTTTTTTAGAAATTCTAAGTAACTAATAAAAATAACTAAAAATAAAAATAATATAAATTAATCAAAAAAGTAATCATTAATTAATCAGAGCAATTAATTGTCGATTTTCAGTCTAGACGCTAATCCAAGACGTCTGTCCGCCTACCGCTTAGCTATTATTTGAGCACAAAATTACCACTAAGCCACCATCTTTTCATAATATACATATGTTTTTCAATTCTAATATTTAATTTAATTTACAAGTCTTTTCACCAGTAATTTTATTGATTCATGATTTAGCTATTTCACTATGTTGCTAACATACTTTTAATCATCTACTGGTAGATTTTTTTTTTTTTTAAAACAAATAATCAGTTTTTACTTACTATTGATTTTGTTGTTTCATGATTATAATTTTCCACTATTAATCTAACACACCAATTAAACTTTATATGTACAAAGAATGAGATGAACACTAACCTTTTCTTATTGATCCTTTTGCTTTTTCTCTCTTAAACTCTTTTGTAGATCTAAATATTTCTACCCTGATAGTTTGACACCTTTCTTACAAATAAACAATGCAACTCGACTATATATATATGTAGAGATTGGGTTTTGTGTACCCTTGGTAAAATGACCAAAAACCCCTAGGATCGTTTGGATTTTGGAATAGACCTAGAAACTTTCTATGATTAATCTCCAATCAAATTTTAAGATTCTATTCTAGTTAAGTTTCTCAGATTTTGCTCGTTGAGTTAATATTCAAAAAATCTTTAATTGTGCAAGATTCCAAAGTTGTTTATTGAATATATGCTTTTTTCCTTTTTTGTGGTAAGAGGTTAGTTTTATAATTTTATTGACATTTTTTTTTTCTAAAATTTCTGATTAGTTTTATTGATTAAATTGTTAGAAGACAGGTTTCTATATTATTAAACAACTCAATAATATAATTGTTATATGAGATTTAACATGGTACGTATTAGATCCCTCAATCCCTGTGGTAACGCTTTCTAAATTCTTAGTTAGTAATCTTGTGATCCAATGACCATGGGATGTGATCATGTGAACACGTTGAAGAAAGTGAGAAAGGTGGGAGACAAGTTAAACCAGATGTAGACGATGTTGACGTGATTACGTGAAGCCGTCCACGTTATCTATTTTTATAAAGTTATCGAGGGATTCTTAAAAGGATGCTTAAGGGATCGAGCTTTCACAAGTCTTTCTTCATAATTGGCTACTTTTGGAAATTTCTAGGTTTTTCTTTCTTTTGATATTTTCTGTGGAGTTTAAATATGGTTTTACTACTATAGAAAATTTTGGTTGGAATGCTCAAATTTTTTACCACTTTTTATTCGATATATGGAGTTTTGAGATAATGATAATTATTTGTGGAGTTGTATGATTTAGTGTTCATGGTATGTTTTTCTCTTATTCAAGACCCATGATTGTTTGATTGTTACCTAAGATCTTGACATATTGTTCGTTCACGAGATGATGTATGTGAAATATGTGACATTATGCTTTGTTAATTATAATTGTTGGAGAGTGTTTGAATAAATTCAATCTTTTCTTACATGTGATGTTTATGGTTTTTTTACAAGTCTACTTTTTAGACTAAATTATATTTCATATTGGTTTTACGGTGTAATACAACCTAAATATGTAGCACCAGGTCTAGAATTCATTGAATTCAAAAAATCTAGCATGAAAAACCACTTGGTTCTAAATTCGTCATACTCCTATCTTAAATCTCATAAATAAAGAGTATATGATGTAAAAAGTATATTTTACGGACCAAAATAGCACAACTATGAAATGAACACCAATTTCTTTTTCTAATCTCCATATTAGTTTTAGAAAATAGATATAAATATACATTTTATACATGATAGATTACATTTTATACATATGTTAGATTTGAGTTAGAAAAAATTACATTTGTTGTTATCTCATATCAAAAATTCTGTTTTGAGTCAATTTGTAATCTCATTCTTGCTGATTCTTTTGAACTCTAGCTCTCAATTATCTTTTAAACAATATCAACTCCAACTCGAATTAGTCTAGTAGACTGTTTGATCTCTAGACGAGACTTACTCAAAATCATCGAAGATATTTGCAATTTGTATTGATCTTTTGTTGTCGTGAGATGTTGAGAGAGACGATCAAGAAAAGCTTCATCATTATTGTGAAGGGCCTACAATATAGCAAGTGAAGCTTTGACTTTGACCATGTAAGGTTAAGGAAAGACTTAACAATATGGAAAAACGGTCAATTCCTACCTTAATTGTTCCAAATGGTGCATATTCCTACTCGAGAAGTTTAGTTGTCCAATTTCATACCTGAATTCCTAAAATTTAGACAATTCATATATGTACTAAATTTTTTTTGGCGAATCTAGATATTGACCGATATCCCATTAGTTAACGATCCAATTCCGTTAATGGAGAGTAGTCTCGTGCCACGATTGTACTGTTGGTACCGGATGTTAAAACAACGTCGTTTTAACACTTACTAACAAAAATAAAATAAAAAACGACGTCATTTTAGAAAAGGTAAAGAATTAAAAACTTATCTTCCCCGACAAAGAAATTGTAACCGCTTAAAAGAGGGAGACCAATATAAAAAAAGAGTAATTCATCGAAAATCTGGGTTTAGGGTTCGCGAAATTGATTGTAATAGAAGAAAGAGTAGTCAATTTTGACTCTGGAAATACAAATCATCTTCTGGATTGGAGAAAAAATATGGTAATTCGACATTTAGAGTTTTTAATTTTGGATGTGTTTCGAATTGTTTAATCATTTGGAATTATTTAATCTTTACGGATTGATTAATTTTAGCTTTTCTTCTCTAATTTTACGAATTGTTTAATTTTAAGAAAACATTTTAATATTTAATTCTTTTTTTTACAGAACAATGTCATTTTATTAATTACATGTTAAAATGACGTTGTTTAACGGTGTCAACAACATAATCAACATGGCGCAGAACTATTTTCCGTTAATAGAATAGAATCGTTGACTAACGAGATATCGGTTAATATCTGGAATTACCAAAAATTATTAGTTCAAGTATGAATTGTCCAAATTTTAAGGATTATGAATTTGGGCAAGTAAATTTCTCGGATAGAAATCTGCACCAAGTTGAACCGTTGATGTACTATAACGAGATATTGACGAAATAAAGTGAATAGAGGATACAAGTATAACCAAATGATATTTTAATTAATAATTCTCGTATTTTAATGTCTACAAAAACATTTAAAGAAATGAAAATAGTGTGGTCCGATGAAACGTACCAAAACAAATGTTGCTTGCCGCATTTGCTGCAGAAAAAACGTATTAAAAATATTAAAACCAATTACTAACGGAAAACAATAATTTAATGCCTATTAGTTATCTTTGAATGTTTTTCTTTTAGTCCAATAAACAAAAAACGTCCATAAGGTAGGTCCCATAAAAACTCACACGTGTACAGCTACACGGTGTCGTTTTCGATAAAGATTCAACGTCCGTCTTTAGTGATACTTCGCCTTCATCTCCTAGCCACTATCTATCATTCCAAAATTCTTCGATTTTTGATTTTCTCCTGAAATCTCGATTTCAAAAACCCTAAGAGATTTCTAAAACTCCGTTTCAAATCCTTTCCGTGTTCGGATGCAGATCGCCGGAGGTGAGTAATCTCGGTTATTTTCCGAATTACTATGCCGCGGAAAGCTCAGCTGCAGCTTCCGGCGTCTCGTCGCGGCGGCGTGTGGTTTCGATGGAAGCTAATCACTGCTCTCTCCGCCGCGTTATGCATCCTCGTTCTCATCAGTTTACACCGTCATTCTCGTTCCAGTGTCACACTGCCGTCGCTCTCCGCCGCGAGATCTCGAATTCCGCTCGGAAAATACTCCGGCGACCGACCGAAGATCTCTTTCCTTTTCCTGGCTCGCCGTGATCTGCCACTCGATTTTCTTTGGGATAGATTCTTCAAGGTTTCTAAATACTCGCATATCATTCAATTTCCGTTACTCGCTGCTTTCTTTTGAATCGGAAAATTGTTTATTCTTACTTGCATTTTGATAGGGTTCAGATCAGAGGAATTTCTCAATCTATGTACATTCAATACCTGGTTTCGTATTCGATGAAGGCACCACGCGATCACATTTCTTCCACAATAGGCAATTGAAGAATAGCATCGAGGCGAGTTTTCGTTTTTGTTGTTGTACATATTTCAAGTAATATGAGCAGAATTCTTGATTCTTTCCTGAATGTATCAGCTAAGAAGTTATGGCAGAATCGAACTATCTCCGCTTGTTCTGAGGATTTTCGTGAATGATTTGGAAAACTAAGAATTGCTCATTTACAGGTAGTTTGGGGAGAATCAAGCATGATTGCAGCAGAGAGATTGTTGCTTGCATCTGCCTTGGAGGATCCTTCAAATCAAAGATTTGTTCTTTTGTCTGATAGGTCGGTTTTCTTTAAGCATTAGACATGGAGTGACTTGTATGAGATCTTATTGATGTTTTTTTTTTATTTGCAATCAAGACTCTCATTCCTTTGCTTTTACTTCTTCCTTTTTTTGATGCAGCTGTGTTCCTTTGTACGACTTTGGTTACATATACAGATACCTAATGTCTTCACCGAAAAGCTTTGTAGACAGGTAGTTTCGATTTTTGGATTCAAATAAGTAGCTGAAAGGACTATAATTTTTCTCAGCTAGTAATTGTTGTATTGGAGGAGATATGTAGATGTTGATAAGCTGTGCTGCTCTCTGTTTGCAGTTTCCTAGATTCTAAAGATCAGCGCTACACCATGAAAATGTTTCCTGTCATACCGAAGGAGAAATGGCGAAAAGGATCTCAGGTATCTTCTAATCATACTGATCTCGAGTCTTGATTAAAGTCTAGATTTTGAAATGAATTTTTGCAGAATTTGTTTCCTTTGCTAGATTTCGGACGTTTGAGATGTTTTTTTGTTGCAGTTTATGAATCATTTTGAATCTTTTTTTTGTTTATTGCAGTGGATATCATTGATCAGAAGCCATGCAGAGGTCATTGTTAATGACGATACTGTGTTTCCAGTTTTTCAGAAATTTTGCAAGGTAAAAAGGTCAAGCTTTTTGGTGTCTTCATTTTTGTTACTTATCGGCTTCAAAAAGTAGTACATATCAGCCTTGTAAAAAGCTTGTGAGCTATAGTTTAAGGCGAACCTTAGAGTATCGGATGTCGTTACAGATTTATTTGTGCTGTTTTCTTCAAGACATAACTGATTAGTTGTTTATTTCCTTTGTTTTTGTAGCGATCTCTACCTCTGGATCCCAGAAAGAAATGGCTTTATCTTGTAAGTAGTAGTATCTCACGGTTTTGCCATATTTCATTATTGCTAGTCACTTGAAATATCTTTGATTCTTACTGCTTCTAGATCACTTTGATTATACGAAAATAGAGTTATCTCTCCCCAAAATCTAAGTTTGGAAGATTTTGAGCGTTATTTTCCAAAGCATATTTCTCTAACATTTTACATTGATGCGTTAACAGAAACACAGACGTCACAATTGCATCCCTGATGAACACTACGTGCAAACTCTGCTTACAGTAAGCACAAAACAATACTCAAAATCTAAATCTCATTCGGTTTATCTCTTTATACACAGCTAATTTTCCAGACTGTTTGTAACCCAAACTTGATATCTTCAGATGCGCGGCTTGGAAAGTGAAATGGAACGGAGAACAGTGACATACACTACATGGAATCTATCAGCAAAAAAAGCTGAAGCCAAATCTTGGCATCCTCTTACTTTCACATCTGACAATTCCGGGCCAGAGGAATTACAAGGAATAAAGGTACATTTTCACAACTTATAAAACAATGATCGTAATATAAATACATAATAACTTACTTTTTGTTTTTGTTTTTCCCGGGGAACAGAAAATCAACCATGTATATTATGAATCGGAGTATCGAACAGAATGGTGCAGAGCGGATTCGAAACCTGTACCGTGCTTTCTCTTTGCGAGGAAGTTCACTAGAGGAGCTGCAATGCGGCTTTTGAGTGAAGGATTAGTAGAATCATCAACAGATACAACCACAACAACCCTTTGAATGCAAAAAAAGGGTAAGTAAGCAAAAGTTATATAAAACTAAGAAAGACGAAACCAACAGAAAACTGACATCAGGAAAGCGGTTTAACTTAGAGCATATACAAGTGAAGCATACAGATAGTAACATTAGTTGATCATACGACGTTTAGTTTAGTACAAACTACACCCTTCTTGGATTTTTTTTTTTTCTTTTTCTTTATATGTATTTTTAATAAAACGGCAATTCCTAATACAAATGTTTTGCAATTTGAAGGTTATACTCGGCTGGATACAATATATAGTCTTGCAATGAGTCTAGGCCCATGAAGCAAATCTAGTCCAACCAAAATCAACTAACAAACTAAAACTTCAAAGAGATCAAGATTATAAGTTTTGAGTATTTATAATACATAAATATTAAACGTCAAAGAGATCAAGATTATAATCTTTGAAACCAAAAACAACTTACTTTTTAGAAGTATTATTAATATTTATGTTTTTATATTATTTAGTGATTATATATAGTCCAACCAAGAACTAACAAACTGAAAGTTCAAGTTTAAGTTCTTAAATTTAAAGTTCTATTTTTTTTTTGTCATCAAATTTAAAGTTCTATTTATAAGTGAAAATATAAATTCTATGTTCTTATAATTCGGCCAAAAAAAATTCAAACTTTTTGCATTTTGCCAATAAAAACACGAATTGTCAACCTACCCAAATAAATACTCAACTTTTGTTGATTTTCATAAATAATAACAAACTTTTTGTTTATTGGTAAATCAGCACACCGTTTATAGAGAACAGAAAATTTAAACGCCATTAACTCTACTGTTACTATTGGGGTTAACTCGAAACGACGACGTTTTATAATCCTGTGATTTTTTAAAAAAATTATTTTCATTTGGGTTTAAACTCGCGATTTAGGACGCATAAGGGAGACTATTGCCACTGAGCCACTGAACACTTTCGAACAAAGTGCTCATACATTTATTTTTATCACTCTCCTTCCCCATTTTTTTTTTAAAATGGCAATTTTAATTTTTTTTTGTTTTTATCTGGATTCGAACTCGCAATTTAAAATGCATAAAAAAGTTTATTGCCACTGAGCACTTTCAGACAAAGAGCCCATTTTTTAAAGGAAGATTTAATCAATTTTTTTTTTTAAATCGTCATTTTGTGTAAAAAATTTTAAACTTTTTTCCACATGCATTAAAATTTTAAATTTTTTTTCGAAAAAGAACGATTTTTAATTTTTTTTTTCGTATTTAAGCTTCTTTTAAGAAAATGACAAAGGAGAGTATAAAAATAAATATATGAGCCTTTTGTTCGAAAGTGCTCAGTGGCTATAAGCTTCCTTATGCATCCAAAATCGTGAGTTCAAATCCACAAAAAAAATTAAAATTGCTATTTAAAAAAAAAAATGGCGAAGGAGAGTGATAAAAATAAATGTATGAGCATTTTGTTCGAAAGTGTTCAGTGGCTTAGTGGTAATGCGTCCTAAATCGCGAGTTCGAATCCAGTTGGAAACATTTTTTTAAAAAATCGCAGGATTCTAAAACGACGTCGTTTCGAGTTAACTCCAATAGTAACGGCATAGTTAATGGCGTATAAATTTTCTGTTAATTCTATAAACGGTATGCTGATTTTGCAAGTTAACGAAAAGTTTGTTATTATTTATGAAAGTCAACAAAAGTTGAGTATTTATTTGGCTAGATTGACAATTCGTGTTTTTTTTAGCAAAATGCAAAAAAATTGGGATTTTTTTGGCCAAATTCTCTTTTATATATTTAGTAGATTATTACTCTAAGTCTAAACTAAATAAAAATTTCATATATTAGGAACCCCTAAGCCATTATGATTGAAGTATTAAGACAAACAAAATAACAAATCATAAAACATGCATGCATATATATATATATATATATATATTTATATAGTAAAATACAAATTATGCTAATGCAGCGCCCCTCCTTTTAAGAGCATAATAAAGATCACAATAAATAAAAAAAGATGCAGCTTAAAGTATTGTCTTCTATTGACTCTGATCATTAGACAAAAAGCTCTTAATTAAGTGACAAACTATGAATTGCTGAATATCAACTTGTATTATTGAGACCATAAGGTCAAAGTATTTATACACTACTCAAGCTAAACCTAGGGTCCTAAGAATCCCGTACAAATAGGTAAGTCAAGATATTGAAATATCTACAAGATATATATGTACCGATATAAGGAATATATCCTAATACCCCCCCTCAAGTTGGAGCATGTAAGTTTCGAATGCCCAACTTGAAATTAAAACCATCAAACTCTTTCCGACCCAACGCCTTAGTAAGTATATCAGCCAGTTGTTCTGTTGTTGAGACATGCAATGGACGAATGAAACCTTTGACAATTTCATCTCGAATGAAATGACAATCCTTCTCAATATGTTTAGTGCGCTCATGAAACACCGGATTGGCACTGAGATATAGAGCTGGTTGACTATCGCAACGAAGCGTCATAGGAGCAGAGTGATCGACCCCCATTTCAGAAAGAAGAGACTTGAGCCACAAAAGTTCCTTGGTAACTGCCCCCATCGCACGATACTCGGCTTCCGTAGAGGATAAAGATACCGTATCTTGTTTCTTGGTCTGCCAGGAAATCGGAGAAGAACCAAGCTGAACTAGCCACCCTGTGAGAGAACGCCTCGTTAAAGGACATCCTGCCCAGTCAGAATCACACCAACCCGTCAGATGAAATGGAGAGTCAGCTCGGAGGAGAATACCCTGACCAAGGGTGCCTTTAAGATAGCGAACAACCTTGAGTGCAGCAAGCCAATGTTCCGCTCTTGGGCTATGCATAAATTGCGTCAGAATGTGAACCGCATATGTGAGATCAGGCCGAGTAGCGGAGAGATAGAGCAGACGACCAACAAGACCTTGATACCGTTCAGGATCAGCAAGAGGCGCCCCCGACGCACGACCTAGACAATGGTTCTGATCAATCGGTGAACCAGCCGGCTTGCATCCTAGAAGTCCAGCTTCGGAGACAATATCAGTGGCGTATTTCCGTTGACAAAGGTAGAATCCTTCTGCACTGCGAGCAACTTCGATCCCCAAGAAATACTTAAGAAAACCAAGATCTTTCATGTAGAAACATGTGGAAAGATAATCCTTGAAAGATTTGATTTCCGTCGGAGAATTACCAGAAATGATTAAGTCATCAACATACACCAGGATTCGAAGTGTCACGCCATGTTTCGAATACACAAAGAGGGAATAGTCGGAACATGTCTGAGCAAATCCGTACTTGACTAAAGCCTCAGCCAACTTGGCAAACCAACACCGAGGTGCTTGTTTCAAACCGTAGAGAGATTTGCGGAGACGACACACCCTTGTCTCGTTAGGAGAAGAAAAACCTTGAGGCAATTTCATATAGACCTCGTCGTGGAGATCACCATGAAGGAACGCATTGTGAACATCCATCTGATGGACCTCATGATTCTCCTCGCCGCAAAGTCTAGAAATACTCGTACAGTAGTCATTTTAGCCACGGGGGAGAAAGTTTCAGCATAATCCACACCCTCCTTTTGATGATTTCCCATGACCACCAAACGAGCTTTGTGACGTTCTATCGTCCCATCAGATCTGTATTTTATGGTGAATACCCATTTGCTCCCAAGAGCCTTCTTATTCGGTGGTAAGGTTTCAAGATCCCAAGTATGATTTCTCTCGAGAGCGGTATATTCAGAATCCACAGCGTTTTTCCAGACTTCATGTTGCATAGCCTCAGAAAATGATCGCGGTTCGGTATTGGCCGTAATCGAAACCAGGAAACTGCAATGTGTAGATGAAAATTTCGCACATGAAAAATAATCAGAGAGCGGATATAACGAACCTGAGGATGGCTGAGGAGAGGGTGATGTGGACGCGAGAGAGAGAGGGAGTTGTTCAACCGAAACAGAGCCCACAATATAATCACGAAGACGAGTAGATGGAACATGCGTCCGTAAGCCACGACCCAAATTCTCAACAGGAGGCGTGGTCTCGGTGTCCAAGTTTTCAGTAGTGCCATTAGGCCCATCATCTATTTCCGGTGGAGGAGACGATGGAACAGGTTCAGTAGCAGGAATGGAACCAAGATCATCGGTATCAACACAGGGTGAATGGTTAGGAGAGGAGACCGCAACATTCTCTGTCACACTCGGAGGAGACATCGTCGCAAAGGGAAATTGGTCTTCACAGAAAACAACATCGCGAGACGAGAAGACAATTTCTTTGTCCAAGTCATAAAGCAACCATCCTTTCTTGCCACTAGGGTAACCAAGGAACATACATCGCCGACTCCTAGGTGCAAACTTATCCCCTTTATGATCAATATTATGAGCATAGGCGAGACATCCAAAAACGCGAAGATGGTTAAAGGACGGAGCTCGACCATACAGCTTCTGGAAAGGAGTTAAACCACCAAGAAGATGCGATGGAGTACGATTTATTAGGTAAACCGCAGTCTTGACACATTCACCCCAATATTCAATCGGAAGACTAGCTTGAAACCGCAAGGCACGAGCAACATTCAAAATGTGTCTGTGTTTAAGCTCCACCCGACCATTTTGCTGAGGTGTATGAACACAAGACGTTTCATGGTGGATCCCTTTTTCTTGAAAAAAACAAGTAAGACACATAAATTCGGTCTCATTGTCGCTTCGAACAGTCTTAACCGTCTTTGAGAACTGCGTAGCCACCAGGGCCAAGAAATCTTTGATGTGGCGAGATACATTAGCTTTGTCTGGTAAGAGATAGATCCAGACAGCTCGGGTATGATCATCAACAATGGTCAAGAAATAACGTGATCCACACGTAGTAGTAGTTCGATAAGGACCCCATAAATCAAAAGGTGCATTAGCATTATTTGAACTGTCTGGAAAACAATGACGAGTCTGTTTAGCTCGTAAGCAAATATCACAATGTGAAGATAAACTACTACTACTACGAACACCAGGAATAAAATCAAGGACACGAGACGACGGATGGCCCATGCGATGGTGCCACAATACTGAATCATCACCCACACTTGTCTGCAAAGCTGTAACTGCATCAATGCTGCGAAAAGTGTAGAGACCCTCTCCCTCTCGTTCACCCGCTCCAATCAGCATCCTCGTACTGCGATCCTGTAAAACCAAAAGCCGATCGGTTATCTGGCCAATAATAAAATTATCAGTGACCAATTGTCCAAAAGAGATGAGGTTAGTGTGAAATCCAGGAACTAGATAAACGTGTTTCAACG